ACAAATTTATTGCATTATCGTTCGTTTTCCATCTACAGCAAAGATGATACACCTTCAATAGCCAATAATTATATAACTGATAATGCTATTTACTTCCTATTTGTCTTCAGGGATTTTCTTTGACTCTTATAATTAGGAAATATTCTATCATTGCTATCCGATGTTTCTGGTATTATTCTCACATGTTATTGACATCATCAATGGAAATGGCACTAATTTCATCATCCATTTGCAATCACTTGAATATTATAACGATACAATATAATTTTATTCATAGATAATCAGAGCATTGTTCAGGTTTGGTAAATATGCATAACAGACACCCACTTTATTTTTTCAATATAAGAAAGTCAACGATCTGATTTGCTCAAACTCATCGTATTCAGATTTCTAGATTTAATTATGTCGTTAATGCCGTCTTCGTTTTCTGTTAATAATTAATTCTACATCTTTTTAATTGTCATGATTGAATTTTATACCATACAATTAAATCTAATTGTCAATTAATATTTAACTGATAGTTATAGGAGTTTCATTCAAAAATACTTATTTGTCATAAATTGACTTTCACTTTCAACCCCATCTAATTAGTTTTTCTTAAATTAGCATGATTAAAAACTCGTCAAGCTGATATCACATCCTGGAATTGATCAGATTTATGCATAGAAAACTTCCTATATCTCGTCTTCATTCCGAAAAATTCGAAAGAAGTAGCTTTCACCTAAATCAATTTATAGAGATAATAGTGTTAGCTTGACATTAAAAATGCCTTCTTTGTCACTTGTCTAGACTACAAATTTAAAATTAAGTAACAGTATCATACCTACAACATTTTAGTTATAGTCTATTCTTACCTATGCAATTTCGTGATCATCTACTTATCTCCACTATTAGCAGACAACTTTATTTTCCTTTCTGTCATAAATCAGTAGATAAGGTGCTCGACAATGAGAAAAAATAGTCTTGTCCAAACTGATGAAAATTCCTTATTGGTAATGCAATCTATGTACCCGTAAATATCCACTAATTAACTGTTAAATAGGTAGCCTCATCAGTTACAGGATGTGCTTATAAATTAAAGAATTAAAAATGAAGAGATTACATCACAGATAAGACATTCTTAGTATCGTGTATATTATCATTGCAGAAAATCTTTACAGCTTATATGAATACGTAGTTAATTCTGAATAATTCATTGTAAATCTCTTTTTAGAAATTTTACATGAGGAAGGCGGTTTAGTTTTAGTCAGGACGTCGGTGTTAGTTTTGGCATCAGAGGCTCTTTGCATTTTCTGCATTGCCTGCGGGCATCATATACTTTGCCCGATTCTCGTGCATGGCGGGTGACATTTACACTGCTAAATAGCTTTGATAAAAGCAATAGAATGGATGCAGGATTCCAATAATATGGCCTTGAATTTAGTACTGGTTGAATAATGACTTGTCACCTTAATCTTATAAGATTCGGCTTTGATTATTTATTTATTACCGACATGTGCTCTTATGATAGCAAAAAAATCAATTCAACTGAGAGTAGCCACACCTAAAACGCCTTCAATTGTTAGAAATTGTACTAGCCGAAGCTGCATTAGGAAGTAATAAACACTTTTTATTTATTTTTTATCCTGCCTTGCCCAAAGTTTGTCTGCGTAGTAATAAAGATTAATTATGTTATTGCTCTAAGGGTTTACAAGTTAGCAATATCGGTGCCATTAGCGTTATTGAATTAAGGCTATAAACATTGAGAAGTCAACAAGGTTTAATCTAGCTTATCCTATAGCCAAATGCTATCACATGAAAACTATTTTCCATTTCTCCTTATGGCAACTATCTCGATAATTAATTTTCTAATATTAACACTATAGCCTTGTACTATTCTGCTTACAAAAAATAAACTACTGTAGTTATCTCTTATTTTCAATATTCTCATTAACCCAAAATAACTTCTCTTAATGGTTTAGCATCAATTTTATAGCCATATAATTTGGGGATAATCAGCAGTAAATAATTTTGGCATTTTAAGGACAAGGAAAATACCGACATTGATCCGAAAAATAAAAGAATATTTACAAAAAAAATTGAAGTTATTAGAATGATTTTCAACATAGCATGCTTATTTATGCTCTAGTTCTACTATTATGATGGCGAAGGTGCAGTAATGTTGTCAACTTTGGACAAATAAATCAATTTTCAGACTAATTTATTTAATAACGCCAGCGGCTAATCAGTGACAGCTAATTAGTGACAGTTGTCATCATCAATAAAACAGGTGCACTGCAAACAAGGAGAGCTTGTAAAATGATTAGTGTTAATTAATTCGAGTTATCGTCAAGCAGGAATTCAAGCTACCCTATTATTCTTTATAAAATCTGATTATCAGCTAAAGCCACATGGAATCCATCATTGTGTCTAACAAGCCTGGTATACAATATCTTATTCCATTAGAATCATTGTCTTGAAATCTACTTGTAACCGATTAAAATTTATCCACATAAATCAAATAATTAGGTCTTGTGAAGATGGAGACCAGGGAAAATAATCCATAGAACATCTAAAAGGTCTACCTCTAGTTCAATACTTTTGCCTTGTTGGTATTTAACTTACTAATTTGATTATGTCATCTCGATAAAAGTGTAGAACGATGACTAATGGGATTCTATCATTTTTTTACTCATTTATCCATTCTTAGTAAATAGTCTGTGACTTTGAATACTGTAAAGCGGTTGTTGATCGTGGTAGGACAGCAGTAATCTACTACTGTCTAGGCATTATTAATGGAATATTATTGGTTTAATCCAATACAATCTAAAACCTACTCCTACTAACAATTCGTATACTAATGCATCCGATTAGTAATAATTATCCCGTCCAATATGACTTACAAACATGCCAAATAATGTTGGAATGGATCTTGAATAGCGTCAGCGTATTATTATTAACGTTTCAGCTATTTTTTTTTTGTTTTATTTCTATGTTGGGAAGCAGTTGGACATTTTTAATGCAAGTTCCGTCTTATCGTGATTGTCATCCAGATGGAACACTTTTTCCCATACATCAATTTTTGCTACTGTATTGGATAAGATAGCTGTGTGGTTGTTATGGAATTAACTTCTCAACGATTATTCCTCTATCAGCGTAGTAATACGCCAATAATTCAATTTTCCAATGTGACGAACTAAAAATATATAAATATAGAAAAATGAGGTAGAAATGATGAATGAAATAATTTTACTTTCATTTGTTAATACAACTATGAAACAATTCTAATTTTGCATCGGGCACAGTAAATCCTTGAGAATTTTTGACTTGGCTGACCATCACCTTCACGTATTTGTCAGTTAATGTTGCGTTATCATTTTGTATGTTATAAAACTGAAATTAGACTTGGTTTAAAATACAGTACTTTTATTTAAAAATTGTGAAATATTGTTGTTCGATGTGTTAATCGATTTGTGACCATATAGCGAGCGAGCTGATAATGAAATAAAATGATATACTTTCTATCTCAAGTTTGATGATTGTTACAATTTTCGATATAGTTTTGTAATAGCAATGAAAGTAATTTAAAGCTGTAAAACTTATGTCATAAGCAGAAGCGATCGAAACCTTAAATGTGCCGAGGCGATATCTGATTATAATGTAAATCGGGTTATTTTCATTATAACCACATCAACTCCTCAATTAAAATCCAATATCACCCACCGTTTAATGCCACATTCCTAATTACTGCACAACAGTAAATATACTTATTAATCTCCAATTTTGTTCGTTGTTACAATTTCCGATGTAGTTTTGTAATGCTTTGTAACGTGTGATCTAATCCTATTTCACACTTGTCATTCAAGCGCCGCAATACGAATCTCATAGAACTCTCATATCCTTGGGGCCATCTATTGATGTCTCCGATTCAGCGTTAGCGGAATATGCCAAGCGTTATCTCGACTATCCACTACAAAGATGGCCAACATCAATTATTCATTATAAACAGTTGTCGCAAAACTAGCCATTTTTTCTTATGATCGCAGTTGTACAAGTCCAATTCTGTACTGATAACGGTCATTTTTATTTTTTTTTTTTATTAATTAAATTATAAACAGTTGTCGCAAAACTTAAAAAGACTTTCTCTTTATGATCAAAGTTGTACAGTACAAGTCAAATTCTGTAGTGAAAACAGTAATTTTCATCATTTTTAGTGATTTCTATTTTTGATGGGTACACTAACTTTTCAAGTCAAAATTGTAAGCCTGCTTTATAAGGGATAGTACATTGAGAGGCATTTCGACTCGATGCGAGCGTAGATACGTTCACAGACTCCATTTCCATTAACCCTTTTACAGTCCAATGAGCATCGATGAAACTCCAAATTGACTTAAAACTATGCAATTTCACAAACTTGATAAAATGACGTTTTGATCATACGCTAGTTCACTATGCATTGTCAACAAGTTGGAATTCAAGGGCTTTTGGGCTAAATTGGCTTTATAAGTCTTGAGATTTAAATGCTCAAGTAAAAGAAATTGAACTGGCTCCCACTTGTAGACTGACTACCGATGGACAGAGATTTCGATGTACAGTAAGTAGAGAAATTGCAGTCTCTCTCTCTCTCTCTCACGGACGGACAGCACAGCCCTATCGAGTTATTCGAGGGTAAGTGTTTTGGGTAGCGATGTGGTGGATGGAATTAAGCCGCTCCACTTTCGCTGCCAATGGCCGAGCCTACAGTATGCTTAGAAAACCAAGTTTTGGCATATACAGTCTGTCGGCAGGTGTTGTAATCGATGGGAGTGGAGTGGGAGTACTCGACTGTCGATGGGAATGCTATCGACAAAACACTAATTTTCAACTACTACTTTAGGACTCGCCATCTTGTCTAGGATTGGTGAACAGTAGACTGTTAGTGGAGTCAACACTTGGACTACTGTCAATGCTTTAGAGTCTTCCCAGTCTGGCCAATCTCCTTTGAATCATCATCCTATCCAACATTCATACCTTATGTAGATATGGCTGCCGTTTCAGTATGTATTGTAGGCGCGGGGGTATGCGGCCTTTCTACTGCTTTGTTACTTGCTGAAAGCAAATCGATTCCTTATAAAGTGACGATCATTGCCGATCAATTTTCGCCTAAAACAACCAGTAATGCAGCAGCTGCTGTCGTTGCCCCATTTATCCTCGGACCTGAAACTCCCATCCAGCTACAAAGGTTCGTGACCAATCGATAAGAATGATGGCTATCACGAGTTCCTGTTCTCATTATGTGAAGTGCGAAATCCAGTCAAATCGCCAAATGCCTAGTCAATTTGCAAAATGCCATCCATCTTGTATTATTAACCGATGCAAATGCTTTAAGGCTAATGTTAAGTGTGACAGTCAACGTCATCATCAGAGAATTTGTAAAAATGAATTATAATTTTCATAATCAGAACGTTACCAATTCAATAATAACGACTTAATTGATCGTAGTATCTCTAAATGGCAGGACGCATGTTAGCATAGGTACTTCTCACTAAAGTAACTGTGCATGTGTAAATTGTTTAGTAAATACGATCCACCTTAGATGGCAATCTTTCATACACGGTGCCAAAGTATGAGAATGAATTTTCCTTATGTGTTGTAGCGATTAAAATAAAGACGAACTGTGACGGATTGACCTACAGTGTGTTACGTATTAGTCTCACTTCTGCTCATTATCTGAGAGTTTAGAAATATTGCACGCTACCATTTAACATGGACTAACCAGATAAACCATTAAGTTTGACTAATAAATTATAGCTGTATTGACAGTAGGATGAATAAAGAATGATTATAATTGGATTCTACTCGAAATTGTTTTGATTGACTCTAGTTTTATTACTAGCTTACATAATTATTATTTGCCACTTGCCACTGATTGACAGTGAAAACACCTATATCTTGTTGTAATTTTAATTTGGAACTCTAGGAGATGGATCAAGCAAACCATGGATTGGTTAGGATCGTTATATAAGACTACAGATGCAACGACTATCGGAGTTATTCTGCAACATCTTTATTTTTGTTATGACAAAATGCAACAGGTTCAGATATTAGGCCATAATATCAGTAGTGAAACCAATAAATAACATCACTACGAGTATTACAGCTTACTGATTATCCTAGTATAGTAGGCTTATCAATTACAACGTGCTGATTTACCTTTATTATTGCAATCTATCACTTCAGGATTCATATTGGAAAGATTGGTTACTTTCTTACCGCAAACTAACCCCAAAGGAGAAAGAAATGGCTTTTGCTGATGACAGCATTATGTAAGTGAACTATCCGATTGAATGATTGAAGTAATTACATGCTGTACAGTATACCACCATTCTAATAGTATTATCCATTACCATTACAGTACGCGATTTTATTGATGTAAATAAAGTTATCTTGTATGTCTAATCAATACTTTTCTTTTGAAAATAAATCATGAATTTTATCGTGTGTTGAATTATTATTTGACAGCGATGGATGGTGTTGCTCGACTTTTACCTTAGACACTGATAAATACATGCATTGGCTAACAAACAAGTAAGAAAAAAAAAATTAACCCTTATAAATTACCCGGTTACGAAACTAATTTTAATTAGTAATGAATTATTACTGTTGGTCGAAACGACTATAATTATGAAAGTAAATTTCGTGAGTTACTTATGATTGTTGTAATACGTCTCAGATTGAAAAATCTTAATTGCCGTTTCATCCAGAAAAAGTTAAGAGATTTAAGTGAGGTTAGCTAAAAACAAAAATACTCTTGCTAAATGGACGGATAATTTATGAATTGATTCTCTCTGATAGGTATCGTCATATGATATTGTTGTTAATTGTTCCGGTATTGGTGCAAACCGGCTAGTACCCGATCCATCCGTTGTACCTGTACGTGGACAAGCTATTCGCGTAAGTGTACTTACATTGATCATCTCTTTCATTCACTTTATCCACCATTATTAGATTCATTTCATTGGTAATGAATACTGTAGGTAAAAGCTCCATGGGTACAGCACTGTTGCATTTATATCAATGAAAAGGCGATAAGTTATATTCTACCAAGGTGCTACATTCAATTATATAGCTTTTGAATTTGCACTTAGCATAATCATTTATTGCAAGCTCGCTTTTATCGGCCATGTCGTTACTATGATTTAAATTTTGTTCCTAGAGCTACTACCGTTTTATTGGGAGGAACTGCTCAAGCTGGAAATTGGAGTAAAAGCATTGATCCAAATGACTCCAAGAGAATCTTTGAAGATTGTTGTAAAATTATTCCAAGTTTAAAGGTTAGAACATACCATACTGTTTGCTATACATGCCCTGAACGACAAACGAGTAGCTACTAACTGTAAGCTCTTCATATGTGAATTACGATATGTAGAATGCTGAAACCGTAGAAGAAATTGTCGATTTAAGGCCATCACGACCGTCTGTTCGACTGGAAATTGAAACAAGGAGAACAGGGCATAAAGACATGAAAGTATGAAGCGAACATTAGGTTTCCTTTGGCCTTTATGATAACATTAAGTGCAAATATGTCTTTTTTAACTTAGATCGTACACAATTACGGACATGGAGGTTCCGGAATTAGTCTTCATTGGGGATGTGCTTTGGACTCGTTTAAATTAGTTGAGAAATTGGCTGAGGATATTCGAGTCTCATGTAAATTGTAATCGTATAAAGGCTTCAACTCTAAGTACTTACTAAAAAGGAGATAAAAAATAATTAACTTTGCTATACAAACTTTAGTATGGTTGTTAACGAACTGAATAATATTACTCTAACGCTTATAACCAGCATTAAAATCTTTATTTAAGTACCATTTAATATAGGAATAGAAGTCCTCACATGCACTAGCAGTTGCGATTGATTTACTTTATGTCTCATATTATTATGTGTAATTACACATTACTATCTAAACTTATTACTATTTATCTTCTCTAAGGAAAGTACAAGTGGTAAAATATGATGATTTTTATTGTTATTTAAATTAATTACATATTATGATTATGTTTTTAGCTCTTTTTTAAGGAAATATGGCAATAATTTTTATGGTAATTCTTGCATTATTTATAGTAAAGGGAAGAATCACTTATTTTCATAAAGATATCATATATTTGAATTTACTGCATTACCAGTTCACTGTACGATATGCCGGCAACAAGACTTAAATTACATTATTAGGAAATGGTCTACATTGCTCTAGTAATTTAATGTGGTCGATGTGCCTAGAATCCTTCAGTGCTGTGCTTAACTGTCGAATTGTATTTGCAGAACTTTACTACACTAGCTTATGATTATAAACTGTAGTGAAGTTAATTCTTAAGGGTCCAGAATAAGTCAGACTAACTGTATTTAAAACCCTAATTAAGCTTTATTACAATAAACTTTCCGTAACTGTATTTACAACAAACTATTAACAAGAAGAACTCCCGATCTACTCGATGCATACGCTTATAAATCCTAGCGCATGACCTATTAAGTAATGGTAATAACATTGTCATGCTTCCACGCGCTCATATTAGTAATTGCCTACTTCAGAATTTAACTCAAGTGCTAAACTCACGGCACCATATAAACATATCGATTTTCACGTCAATCATTATATGTATTCAAAAATGCTGCGCAAAATATACCTGTGAATTCTAGAATAGTATGCCCCTATGTCTTTGAATGATATACCATTTCATCGGACTCACCTCATAATCTCAATCATAATAAACTATCATCATTTTTTGATCAGTGAAGTTGCTGTCTAATATATAACTATCAGTGCCCACATTTGTAGAGAATTTACATACAACTTAAGATAGTTGCACGGAATAATGGCCTATTTTTCCATGTAGCAGCAAGTAATCCCTTCTACATGTAGCACAAATCAAAAGTGAGTCATTCGCTTGATACCTGGTATCAGAATCAGTTCATAAAAGCAGAGACAGTTTAATCCTAAGCAATAAAATTCTCTTCATTATTTTAATAGGAATAAGTTCGCACTAAAAGAAGCACGAACTACTACCGTAGTACATTTCTGTATAAATGGCATCAAATAAGATAGTTTAATGCAGTGCAGCACACATTAGTCACTTCAGTACCAGTCACTATTTCAAAAAAATTATTACCCATTTATAGAGTGAAGTTTGGTGCTTGTAACTTATGTTAATAGCTATCATTGTAATAAACTGACTCTCCTTAACTGTATGATAGTGAACAAATATCATACTGTATATTAAAGATATATCTAATTTCCAATCGAATAACATTTAATATGCATCACCTCAATTAAAGACCATCATAACGTATAATAATAATTATATTATCGAGGTCAGAAATTGTCAAGTCTTGGTTTTTATTTTACGTCATGTGGTAGCATGTATTAAAGATACTAGTATATTTATAATTACTAGAACGTTGAAAATAAATCATGTATAATCACAGTAATAACAAGTGTTACGTCCAGAAATATACTTACTTTGTCTAACTACAGCATTATAAACTAACATACGATTGATTTCAGAACAGTAAGACCGATTTACTATGGCCTATGGGATCGCTTTACTTAACGTAAAATAATTTTAGGTAATCAACGTAACCGATAACGCATCGTCAAGATTTGGTCGGTTACTTTATAGATATCCTATTTATGTGGGATGCGCATCCAGGGTTAATAGTAAAAGCCATAGAGATACTTTTCAATATGTTACGGCCATGATTTACTATATCTTAATTTACAGCTTATTTATGGTAAAGTGTTTTTAGGGAATAAACGTAATCGACATCGTATACTAAAGATATTTCCTTATCTCCAGCTACGATGCTCATATAAGATAAAAGAAAATCTAAAGCAATACCAATCAACTTAAGTAAGTCTAATTTGAGAAATGTAGCGTGCTAGTTCATATCTTCTTTATGTGGGATACCTTTCAAGACAAATGATAGCGCTACAGAGATAGCTTTCAATTTACTATGGCTATAATTTACTTTGGCTAATTCTAAGCGGCTTTCTAACCACTAAGTGATTTTAGATACGATATTAAACGTCATCAAGAACGCATCCTCAATACTTGATGGACCGTTCAACTTTTAATATATTTATTCCTAAAGCCATATTCTAATCAATTGCAATAATACAGACTAATTACCATTAGGGTCTCAACGCGTCATGGGATACTTACCATTTACATATTTACAGTATGCAAAACATATGCCTTAAGTTACGAGGCCATTTACAGGGTAATATATAGACTTCCAATGACTTTCAATGACATCTCTTTTGTATATTTTGCAAGACAGCATTTCTATCACTTAGCAGCCTATACACTCTTATATATATATTTTAAATCAAACAATTACCTTCTAAATTTAAAGTTCTAATGGCTGATTTCATTAAGATTTGCAGGATGTAGCCCAAGATATCGGTGACTCGACTGAACCATGACTATTTCTGTATGTGTTGTTGGCGCTGGTATAATTGGCTTGTCCACAGCTTTACAAATTTTACAGAATAATTCTGATTTAAGGTATGATGTCACTATAATAGCAGAGAATTGGGGAAGACATACCACTAGCGATGCAGCCGGAGCCATTCTGAGACCGTCTTCAGTGCGGAACCTGCCAATCCACTTACAAAAGTAAATTAGATGATTTCAATTACAAATTCGTCGTCCACATACGGGCAAAATCTTCTTCTTTTCTATATTACTAGGGATGTTTTCACTGTTTATGTGATATAGTTAATAACAGTGAATATTGGTATAGAACTATGTAAAGTATCTTAAAGCATAATGAACCACAATAACCAATCATTTTATAAGCACTTCGTAGGAATGGGCTGCTTATTTATAATAAATTGCCTGCCATTGGTGTGGTAATAGTATTAATAGATTCATGTTGAAACATATCATGATTGTAGACCTTGGTTTAATAAAACGATAGACTGGATAGGACAGTTAAGTCAAGAAAACCCAGGATTAGCCGGCATTCATCGGATACAATTACTGCACTTTTTTGAGCAAAATAGGCCGGTGAGTTACCAGTTAAAAGTCCTCCACACTGAATATTCCATCCACAATGAAAATACATAAACGTACCGGTTGTATTTTAGGAACCTCATTGGAAGGAATGGATTCTTGGATTTCGTAAAGTAACTGATCTAGAAAAGAGTCTAGCCTGTAGAAAGAGTACCATGTAAGCTCATTATTTTATCATTGCTAACTAATATTCTTATGCTTTAGTTCTGTAACATCCTTATCGTAAAAAATCGTTTATGTCAAATTTTAATCAACAGCTTGATTTAGAATCTGTATAAAAAATACCGCTTTTTAACCATATTCATTTTATACACTTCCATTACTAACTTTAACTTATTTAAATGATGGAATAGCTCTTTCGCATACTTGTAATCGTATAAAGGGCATCTTATCATCTTAGTCAACCACTAGATTACCCTAATATTTATCAACGTACTTCAATTTTAAATGACATTTTTGTTGACTTTTAGTAATGGATGGTGTTTATCTACATTCTGCATTGATACTACCAAGTACATGGCATGGCTTACTACAAGGTAATTTAATGTTGTTTAAGCATAATAGTGTAGGGATAGCTTCCCAATACGACGACGATTCAGTGAATTTATGATCATGAGCTATACAGTATCGTTCAAAAGTAGAAATAATCCTCATGCTAGAAAGTAGATGTAGTGTATTTAGTTTTCACTGTAGTCTTTAGATATATTCTTAAATATGGACATTTTGTTATGTTCCGAATATAGATACCTCTACAGTCTATTTCAACTACGCTCAAATATAGCTAGAAATATCGTATGATTTTTAATACAGATGGTAAATTGTATTTTATTTGATGTACTAGTTTAATTTCGATTAAACGATGGAATAGACTCAGGTAATAATAACGGCTAGTTGCGGGTATTAAAAAGTAGAAGTAGCTCAAAATATTGAATATGAGCAATGAGTAGTAAGTAAATAAGTTATTCGGCAGTTTGACGCCTTAATTTACGACTGTATACTTTCCAGTAAAATATCTACAAAGGAAATGAAGGTATAGATAACACAACTACAAAAGTAAAATTTAAATCTAATATTTTGCCTTAAATACCTTGTTATTATGTTATCAACAAGCTGTCTGTTGCTATATATACCGGGCTGGCATATACTGTAAATACCACTGACATCGTTTCTACCTATAATCGTAATAATATCAGCTATAACGTCTAGTCTAATATCTGAACTCCTATATTATAACTTTTCACGAGTAATATCATATTTTTTGTTGCTTGTCAAGTCTTAAAAAAGAAGGTGTAAATAACATCACTACTTGAATAATCATTATTCTAGAAAAAGACTAGCCGGTTGATTTATCCCAACGATATAGCGAACTTAGCATTTTGTTTTATGGAATGTTTTTACAAGGATTCAAGATCTCGGAGGTCGATTTCAGCAAAGAAAATTAACAAGCTTAAATCAGGTACTGATGATCTATATATAATTCATAAAAGAGCACGTAAAGCCGATGTGTTAATCATAGAATAACTATATCGATAAGTTATGTCGAAAAGAATAAGTCGATTTTAAATGCTGCTCATTTTACTACTAGCTGCCTTCAAAAAAAGAGCATATAAAGCGGTAGTGTTAATCATAGAATGACTGGGTGTATCGACGAAGTATATCGAAAAGAATTAGCCGATTTTAAATACTGCTCATTTTACTACTAGCTGTCTTAAAAAAAAACCTATAAAGCCGTGATGTTAATCATAGAATGACTGATTGTATCGGCGAATTATGTCTAAAAGAATAAGTCGATTTTAAGAACTGATCATTTTATTACTAGCTGTCTTCAAAAAAAGAGCATATATAGCCGTAGTGTTAATCATAGAATGACTGACTGCATCAACGAGTTATGTCAAAAAGAATGAAAATGATTTTGAGTATATGAACGCTCTATTTTGTTACTAGCCGTCTTAAAACAAGAGCATATAATGTCGTTGCGATTATTAATAATTATAGATTGACTGTATTGACATGTTAAGTCGAAAAGGAATGAATTGATCATATATGTATGTAATTATTCGATTTTGCTATTCGATTTTGCTACTAGCTATCTGCATACGATATTATCGTAAATTGTTCTGGAATTGGAGCTTATTCACTAGTACCTGATCCTTCTGTAACTCCCGTACGCGGTCAGATTTTAAGGGTAAGTTTATAATACACTGTATATGCATTATCCATCAATAATTAATTCACAGTGATACACTTTGCTACCAATAAGCGCTAATCCACTGCATCCATATACACATTCTATTATGTATCATCATACAGATGTAGCTGATAGAACAGTTAGCATTTTTATATTTTATGCTAAGGTTAAAGCTCCATGGTTATTCCATTCGTGCGTTTTCGAATATGGTGAAAAATTGTCTTATGTTTTCCCAAGGTACAGATTTCACGATATAATTTCTTCATTTTAATTGTAATACTTTATAAACCATTATTTTTCTTAAATCGTGCAATGGATAGGTCAAGCAGTGTTGTGCTAGGAGGAACTTACCAAGTTGGTAACTGGAATATGAATATTGATAAAAATGATTCGAAACAAATACTCGAAGATTGTTGCAAGTTAATACCAAGTCTAAAAGTTTGTCAAGAAAATTACCTTATAATTAAAACAAGTTTAATTATTAGCATGAATGGGATATCAACAATCTGTTACTCCATTTTTTAAATTCAAGATTATTTTATTCTTGCTTTAGAATGCCGAAATTATTGAAGAAGTTGTAGGTCTAAGGCCATTGCGACCATCAATACGATTAGAGATTGAAAAAAGAAACATCGATCAAAAAGACATTAAGGTTTCACAAGCTATATGAATTCATTTCTATGATTCAATTAATCATTTTCCAGTCATTACTAATCACTTTTATATCCATTTTTTGTGTAGATTGTTCACAATTACGGGCATGGAGGTGGTGGTTATAGCTTTCACTGGGGATGTGCAATCGAAGCATTCAAATTAGTTGAACAACTATCTAGTGAGAGTGGATTGATATCAACGCTGTAAAATACGATAGTTATATTTATTGGAAGAGCATTGCAAATTAATAATCCTTAATTCATCAAACTGTTATATCTTAAACCATTTCTGATCATAAATTGTGCTGTTTCATATTTTTCAGAGTTCAGTTATTATAATTGTAAACATTATGACTGATATATCCATTGGATACTCAAATGCATACTATGCTGCTTCCGTATAAACCCTACATACTTAAAGCGAGCCTTAATTGTTCTTAACTCTAATATATTTTTATAATCACTACTTTACTATCTAGTATTAATATCCGTTGAATAAATTCTGATTAATACCTACTAGAATATGAAAATACAGATCTATATAAGGTACTAATGTAAGTGTAATTATTCATCAAGTATAATAACACCGAGACGTAGGTTTTAAGAACTAATAAAGCTACAGTTAGGAAGTTTGTACCGTGCAATCCTTTTTCGATAACCCAAAAACCCATAATTTAATAAATGCTAACTTATTTTAATAAACGTTAAAATTTGCATATTTTCCTAGAATTAGGACCTTTTTCTATGTGGACATATAAAATAATCCTACATTTCATTCAGAAATTTAAGTCCATTTTTCACTAAAATTTTAGAAACGAAAAGAATCATACCATAGCTTATCTACATCTAGTAAAATAATATATATTCATATATATAGTTTATTATTATAATCTAATCATTCTCGTATAAGGAACATCAAATATTGGCTAGCTATATCAAGGGCATCTGCAAGTGTACATGTCTAGTTATCATGAACCTATAGAACTGTAAAAGGAAATAAATACCGTACTCTCATATCAAATAGTAATAAATATACTGTAAGTACAGTAAAAAATATACATGCAGTAATTCAAAACTATAATAACATATAATAATACCTATCGAGATCAGAAATAGACTTTTGTTAAGCATCCAACAGTACTATAAAAAATATGATGTAATTATTCTTGTATAAGTAGCAATATAGGTTAGTTATATCAAGGATATCTATAAGTGGACGTGTTTTTTCATTATTTCTATAGTTTAAACTAGCGTACGGCTCATGTTAGAACGATATGGCTAATTTAGTATGGCTTGCTTGAGCAGCTTTCTCATTATACATGCGAAGTCGACTACGCACCCTCCTTGTTTACGTATAAGGACTCTTATATCATTAAGATGCAATCCACAGCATAAACTGCACTATAAATTTAGTTGATATCATTTAAACCTTGCATTAGTGGTATTTGGAGATCCTCTATCATCATTATTATCATTTCTAAATTGACACTTATGCTATCTGGAGATCCTTTAGCACTATCGCTTTTCCCCCTATCTTCAATTCGTATCTATATTATCTGAAGATTTACTGAACATCATCCTTCTATCCCTCCATTTTCATTTCTTACTACAGCACTATTTTATTTATCGACTTGGCTATAAATCATCTGCATGCAACGTAATCAGAACTAATAACACATAAAAGAGTTTTGTGATTTTAAATTAAAGGGCAATATCCCAAACTTATATTCGTCGATTAAAGTAAATTATCCTTGATCAAAGGAGGTTAAACCAGAGTTCAATCTCATAAGTTGCTTTTGCATAAAATTACCGTCCAAAAGAGCAAGACAGTAAAGATTCTACAGCAATAATGACTATTTCTGTATGTGTGGTTGGCGCCGGGATCATAGGTCTTTCAACGGCATTGCAAATTTTGCAGAACAATTCCAATTCAAAGTATGAAGTTACGATAGTAGCAGAAAAATTTGGTAGAGGCACCACTAGTAGCGCCGCCGGAGCTATCTTGGAACCTTACTCAGTAGGAAATACGCCAATTCATATGCAAAAGTAATGCCTTTGATATCACTTCGCAGACTGATTAGTTAATATAATCATTAATACACGATTTACGAACAATGTCTGAAGGAGTCGAATGATTGCTGCTATTGATCATCTTGACAAAATTTTATAGAAATTGAAGAATCATTTATCATTACATCTTTATTGCAAATTTTTCAACATTAATGTAGTAGTAGCGTTAATAAATTAATTAATATTGCAAATGTGTTACCAATTAATATCATTTAGACGATGGTTTAGCAAAACACTCGATTGGATTGCCCAGCTAGGCAATGATAATCCTGGATTAATTGGAATTCATCAATTACAGATAAACTACTTTTTTACAGACGATAAACCTGTAAGATAAATGATACAATTTCTACTTGATTCGATTTTTTCGACCATTAAATGCAAATGTAAACTTATATCCTATTTTAGGATCCTTACTGGAAAGATTGGTTACCTGGATTCCGTAAAGTAACTGCTATAGAGAAAAAAATAGCCTGCAGAAATAGCAGTGTGTAAGCTACTAATTTACTATCAGTATTACTAACATCCGTACAGTATCACTACATCGCATCCATAACAATGTTTGACTAATTTTATTTTATGCATCTACCACTTTTAATAAGGTGTGCTTTTCATATTTACTATAGCTACCAATTTTGATCGCATATGCGTTTAAAGCTTGTCTTGACAATTTATAAACAACATTCATTTATTAACTTTCAGTAATGGATGGTGTTTATCTACCTTCTGCATTGATACCTCGAAATATATGGCGTGGCTGACTAAAAGGTAATTTAAATTTATGAAAGCATTAAGATAGAATCTGATAGCAATTCAATCAGTTCGTGGTAATGAGCAACAATGTAGAGTAGTATAAGAGGATCTAAGATGCTTATTTTACAGTTGGAATATTGCAAAATATGTGATATGTGTAGTCAATTTGTAGCTAAATCATTATATTTGGAGATTTGATATTTGGATATGCAAATTTAAACTTTTAATTAAACATAGTTAAGCTAGAGATTTGAGAATAGATATTGCATGACTAGCACAATAAAATCTTCTTTCATGTTGTATTGATTTTGTTATCTTATTAATGGTAAGGAAAGTTATCTATTACCATTTATAATTGCCGACATAACGCTATTACCAGTTTATCTACTTTAGAGCACCTATAATAATAGCTGGTTGTAACTGCTACAAGATAGAAATTTCATGGAACATTTACTATCCGTAGTTAGTTGCAACAGAAAATGAATTCTTTATATGACAACTTGCTGTATGAAGATCTAAACGTATCTTTTAGTTTTAAAACTTTTAACAAGAATAATTCAAAGACCGACTACTCAACTACTATTTACTTAATTACTTCTTATCTAAGATTTCATATTTTATTAATTGACAGCAAAATTTGTTAGATAATCAACATTTGTTTCAATGTTATCCATTTTATAGCAGTAATCATAGTAGCCATCAAGCCTAGTTCAGTATTCAAACTGTAATAAATTCTCTTCGGCTATACGTTTTATAACGAAGCTAAATCTAATGCTCGAAGTTGTAATACCATTGTTTCTTCTTTAAGAACAATTCTTAAACCAAACTAGTCAAATGACTTAGTGTAACGACTACTTAATACAGCCATCTCATTTTTTGTTTTAACTTGATGCTATTTAAACAGAATTGAAGATTTTGGTGGCCGGTTCCAGGAAAGAAAATTAACTAGCTTAAATCAGGTATCATATTCAATTCTTGAGCAAGAGTAATAAAAGAATGCATCAAAGCCGTATCGTTAATGATATTAACGACTAAGTAAATAGATTACGGCATACATATATTGCTAATAAACTTAATGACACCAATTTGCTTTACTTCTAGTTATCTTCGTATGATATTATTGTAAACTGTTCTGGTATTGGGGCTTACTCTCTCGTGCCAGATCCTTCTGTAACCCCAGCGCGTGGACAAGTTATGAGAGTATGAAAATATATCAATAATTTTTACATGACAGTATTAAGATCTTTCTATGATAAAATCTTACTTAATTGCACAAGCGTCCACATAAACTGTTCCTGAGGTACATAGAAGATGTAATATTTACGGTAATTAATCCATCATTACTTTATTTATTTTAAGGTCAAAGCTCCATGGTTGCAACATTCTTGCGTATATGAAGATGATAAGACGATCTCTTATATTTTCCCAAGGCAATTATTTCAGTATAGAACTTCTTTTAATTCAATAGCAATGCTATATTCAACACTTTTTAAAATGTCTACTATAGATCCGGTATTGTAGTGCTAGGCGGAACATATCAAGTGGGCAATTGGAATACAAATATTGATAAAAATGACTCGAAAAAAATATTCGAAAATTGTTGCAAGTTAATACCAAGCCTAAAGGTTTGTCTTTAGGATGGAATTGTTCATAAAAAGATCGATGATCAGCTCATAAGCTAACAATTTTTTGGTTCTTATGATAGAATGCTGAGATCATCGAAGAAACTGTTGGTTTGAGACCAACAAGACCATCAGTTCGACTAGAGATAGAAACGCGGAATGTTGATCAAAAAGAGATTAAGGTCTTACTGCATTCAATTACTTCTTTATTAATATAAATTATATGTACGCAAAGATATTGCTATAGATTAAATCGTTTACTTTCTTAATTCTTAATCTGTTTATTATTCATCCTTATCGTTTTATAGATTATTCACAATTATGGGCATGGTGGTGCTGGTATTACACTACATTGGGGGTCCGCAATAGATGCATATAAATTAGTTGAACAGTTGTCTAGCCAAGGCAAATTGTCATCGAAGTTATAATATTTCGTTGATTCTTTCGATTGGGGTTATGCAGCGAATGCACATAAATTAGTCTAACAATTGTCCAACGAAAGCAGATTGTCATCGAAATTACAATATTTCATTCATTATATTTATTAGAAAAGTATTGCATCATGGCAATCTAAGCTTAATCACATTGCCACATTTGCAACTCTCTGTAATCATGAATTGCTTTACACAGGATCAGTTACATATAGAGACTATCGCTACGTACATTTATTATTGCATATACTCTATAAGTCCATTAAGACTCGAAGTATTCTAAAGGAGTATTAATGATTCCTAACTTTATGACCATATCTTTAGTACTCATTACTTTGCTATATTGTATCAACATCCATGGATTGATCTTGGATATGTCGAATAGATTGCAAAACAGGTCTTTGTAGCAAAATTGTGCTTGATTACTTACTTAATTACAACATGTATACTCAAGAATATTTATACAGTTTTTCTCATGTGTACAGTCACTGTACACACTTTATTAAGTATTTTCTTACTAATTTGTATCTGTTGACTCTGTGGAGTAGGAGCTTGCTTACAACGCTAGAAATGGTTATTACCTTACGATAACTTAATAGGGATCTTTAAATTGAGAATATTCCATACATTTATTTTACAAATATCTCACAATAATGCAATCGAATACACCAAAGTTCGCTTTTTTGCGTTTTTTAAGTGTAGGATACTTACTCTTTAATATAAGTCCATTCATTGTATTGTATGACCCAATAAAATGTTTTTAATATTTATTGTTACTAACAAAGAATTTTGAACCTGTGTATTAGCACAGGTACCGTAATTAATGGTTTATTATTATTAATAGAGTTTTGGTTGAAAATCTCACTCCTGCTAAATAATAATGTACATGCTATGGAGATGGAATTAGATATGATACAAATGGAATATCTTTTGCAATCTTATAAAAATTTAAGTAAATCTAGGTCTAGCCAACCGTACTTTGATGTAGCAATGCATATTTGTGTTCGTTGGTAAATCAGATTTTTACATCAACATGATATTAATAAATGACCTGCCTACTGTATTAGTAGCTTATGGAATTGTGAGACATACACAATAATTCTATGTGATATCTAATTATAGCATTATAAATTTTGATCCTTAGAGATATTTATATTGAATAGAAAATATAAGCTAGCAAAGTAATTACGATTTCTGAATGAATCTCGAACCATAATGAATGATCATGTGATACTAACTTCTGTCCCCTCCGAAAAAGGAAAATTTCCAATTTACCGTGAAACATAGTTTTTGGCAGATATCAACAATTTTGATGATAGATTAATACACTTCGACGTAATAGTTAACAGCAACTTGTGCGTTAATATATGCAGAAGTCCTAACTTAAAAGGGAAACTATTAATTATTTATTTATGTAGTATATCTCAGTTATCAATAGTTAAAGCTATTTCTAGGTATAATCTCCCTTCCATGCTTATTGCATTCTTAAACTTCAACAGCAATTATGTAACCATTTATTTTAACGAGCAATTAACTAGTAGTCTCAATATTTTAACAGCAAAGTATAATTATTTAAATTTTGCTTATAGCTACTACTTTTCTTCGACTAGAAAAATATGCTTATTAGTATTGATTTGTTTGGTATGGCGTAGATACCTGAAACGTATTTTATATTAAATAAATCTTCAGAAAACGATATTTACACTAATGATAATAATATCTAGCAGGGTATAATCTGGCTTAATTGTACTATCGATGCTAAAAAGTCATATATTAAGTCTATTTTAGCAGCATTGAATATAAATTCACTTAGCTACTTGTTGACGGTAATGACCTTTCATCTAATCCATATGGAAATTTCAAAGTATTCTCATACGTAGTTAAATATTAATGTCGTGATGGGAGTAGTATCTTCCTTTACTCGATGAATCAATGACGATATCGTCACTATCGATACCAGCATTTTAAGAAGCCGTTAACAATAATTGATTTATGCTTCTACATTTAAATTTTTATTTGACACTTAATGAATGCAAATATCGATATTTCAACGAATTGGATGAATTATGTTGGAAGTACTAATTATGCTGATAACACTCCTTCTATCTACTGCCCTAATAGCAGCTAACTTACTAATTGGCCTACGATGCATGTCGCCAACATCCAATTAATTAAATTTGTCCCATTTAAAACAGAATTTTTAAAGTATCTAATGGATGCAACTACTAAAATTTTAGCTAATCATTAATAGAGCAAGGTACTGTATGACCGCAATATTAATAATACTCGAATTATTTTGTTTTAACCCACTAAATTGAAAGAAACAATATTGGTAATTGATATATTGAGATTTAACTGGTATGTAAGTAAATTTACATGGCTATAATTAAATCTTATCCCTGAACTATTTAAATGATAAAATTACTGACGTTAGATAGCAGACGGTAAATAAAGTCATTTAGCAGCGAAAAATATTAATAATGCGGTTAATATTCTCCTTTTATTCGATCAACTATTGAAAGCAATGTATCAGCTGATATCTTATGATATCGTTAATGCTCAATTTCTTCATGTGACTACGTTTAAATTTTATTCTTGGAATGATTTAGTAGAAATACAATTTCCCACATTTCTGGTAATTGCAAACAAGATAACTACTGATAAAAACGTTCTTTTGCCATCCGACGGGCTGATGGAGAGATAATATGGCTATCGATGCTGGAAGGATTTAATGTTTGCAATTACCTATATTTCAAGCAAATGCAACCAAAAGTAATCATCAACAGAAATATTCATTGTACCCGCAATAGTCTTTAAATAATCCGATGAACTAGTGAAGGAAGTAAAACTACAGATACTCAGGATATCATTAACATTTAGTTACCGTTGTTACATCTCCATTTATTGGATGCAATTGCTAACATTTTAAGTAAGTACGGTACAACGAGGATAATCAATGATGAAAATATCAATATAACAAGTAGTAATCTCTTAATATCCTATGAATTAATAAAGGGGAAGGGACTATGGATACTTTAGGATATTACTCACACATAAATCGTTTATATTTCTACTATAAAAGTAATTGAAAGGATTCAATGATTGCAGTTGCTAACGTTTCAACCAAGTTTACAATAAAAGCAATTATGAATAGAAATATTTATAATATATTTATATATAATACAAGTAATAGTCTTGTGCTATCCAATACTTTGAAGTTATGAAGGAAATCTAACTATCTTCACTTGCTATCTAATGAATTAAGGAAAAGGAATAAAATTATCGATACTTCAGGATATTGTTAACATGCAATTTATTTACGTAGTTCCATTTCCATATTTATTGGATGCAATTGCTACCATTTCAAGCAAATACAACAAAGACAATTATCAACCGAAATATTCATAATGTACGAGTATACGTCATGTGTATAGAATACAAATCATCGTCTCTTGCTATCCAATAAATTAAGGAAAGGAAAATGATTATCAATACCTTAGGATATCGTTAACATGCTATTAGTTGACGTAGTTCTTTTTCATATGTATTGGACCAAATTGCTACCATTTCTAGCAAGTGCAACGAAGGCAATTTATCCACCGAAATATTTATAGTATACAGTATATGGTCATGTATATGTATAAATTTACTACAAGTCATCGTCCCTTGCCATTCGATGAACTAAGGAACGGAATATAATTACCGATACTTTAGGATATCATTAAAGCGCTATTTTATTGGCTTAGTTAAATTTCAATTTTTATAGGATATATCTGCTGATATTTCAAGCAAGTGCTAAGAAGATAATTATCAACCGAAATATTCTTAATATACAGTATATGATCATATATATGTATATTTGTCACGGTAAAACCCGAGAATCGGTGAATCCCGGTAATAACTAATAAATTGCTATTCGATAAACCCAGGAAAGGAATAAGACTATCGATTCTTAAGGATATCGTTAACATTCTACTTATTGACGTGCTCAAATTTCAATCTTTATTGGGCCTAATTACTATCATTTCAAGCAAGTGTAACGAAGACAATTATCCAAAATATTCATCAAATACAGTATAGTACAGTATACTGTACATATGATGATATTTACGTATGCATTATTATATAACACAAGCCTTCGTCTCTTGCTATTCGACGAACTAAGGAAAGGAATAAGACTATCGATACATTAAGATATCATCAGCATGCAATTTGTTGACGTAGTTCCATACCCATTTTTATTGGACGCAATTGCTACCATTTCAAGCAAGTGCAACAAGGACAAATATCAACAGAAATATTTCATCATATATGATCATATATCTCTCTCTCTATATATGTTTAACATATATATATATATATATATATATAGCACAAGTCGTCGCCTCTTGCTATCCGATGAACTAAGGAAGGGAATAAGACTATCGATACTATAGGATACCGTTAACATCTAATTTTATTGACGTGGTTGCATACACATTAAATGTAATTGCTAACATTTTAAACAAATCCTTCCAAAGCAATTAACCATAAAAATAATCATAATAAAAAGAATACTCTCTTGCTATCCGATGAACTAAGGAAGGAAATAAGACTACCAATACCTTAGGATATCGTTGACATTCAATTTCATCGCTTGACTGCCTTGAAATTTTATTTTTGGAAAGATTTAATGGATACTAACGGTCTAGTCGAGTTTGCGCACAAAAATGGATGCATCATCTGTGTATTGAGTCAGTAGCACTCATAATGCACTCATACACACTCATTTCAACACTCTTCTACACTCATCGACACTCTTTAGCACTCCTTGACTCTCTTATAGCAATAACGATGTTCAATAATAGTCATCAATTAGTTATAAGACCAATTTTCCTCTATTTTAAGATGCTTTGGGATATGAAATGAGCCTATTGTCATTTTACAAGCGTGTCTAAACCTTGGCGCAAGCGAGGATGACTGAATGAGAAATGAGATTGAATGTCTATCCACATCTATTGCTATCGACGATTGCATCGAGTCAGGATTAAGTGTCGAGACCATACAACATCCATGGACAACAGTGAGCGATGGAGTAATTGAATTATTCTACGACTAATTAACGCAAAGAAAGCAGAAACAATAGCCATAGATACAATTCCAACCTAATCCTATAGCGAGATATGAATATCTTTCCTATAGCAGTAATTTTCTCTTCATTAACATGATAAAGAACAGATATTTTATTTTATAAGCAAAAAATAATACGGCATTAGCTAGGGCATAAACCTATATGAAGGGATCAATTTCTTGGAGCTTGGATCAATTCTCTACGAGAATAGAATAGCTAAATCATCCCTTCCTTCAACATAGAGTAATAACACTGTTTTAGGCAATTATTGGTGCAAGTCAACATAGTTCCTGCTGAAAATGCTCCATTGGCGAGAAATTCAATTTCTGCAAGTAAATTGAAGATTAAAATAGCCACTGCAGTAATACCGTAAGGAATTGGGCTATCTTATTGTCTATGTAGTGAGAGTGTGCCATCATGATACTAAAAATAATGAAGGGATATCGCCGTATCTTCATCCATGATTCAATTGTGACAACAGTTTTGAAGCCAACTTTGCTTTTACCTTGATAATTAGATTCAAGTTCTTACCGTTCTGCTGTGCAAAATACACTTCTACAGTAGCGCACCAGCCTAATGGCCGTTTTACAATCTTACTGTCTTTCGTTAATAGTAGCAATGTTGAAAATAGTAAATGGTGAACATAATATTCTCCATGAAATCATTTATTATATAGGATTGTATCGAATATTGTACGTAAACTAATTAGCGCTAGTTTAGTGCCATCGACTTAAGGTAGTACTAAGAATCCATATTGGAAAATGGATTCAATTTCCCTGTTATAATCGATCGATCTCCTTTGTAATTAAATCCATAATCATCCTGTAGTACTTGAAGAAATTATGATGGTTGAAGAATGGAGAAATGCCTTTTCTTTATAAATATCCCAATTGTTGCGAAATCTTTTCCTGGTACTACTAGTACTAATTTACGCCCATTTTTTTTTCTTTTAACTTTGGCATTTTGTATTGAAATCCTTTGAACGTTGATAGATATTGAACAACATCTTGGATGAATCTGAATAACTGTAGTACAAGAAAACGAGGAAATATCGTCAGCCTAGGAATATGTTATTTTGTTTGGCTGGGAAAAGCAAGAAGAAGAAATTGAATGTTGAAAGAGCAACTTTAGCGATTGCTAGTTCACAATGAGCGATTAAAGGTTAATAAAAATGTTGTCTCAGTTGTCGGTAAATGTGAGAAATCTAGCGCGAAATGTGTGAATTCATAGTGGATCATTGATCCAAGTCATTTTAACGATATTTTATACTTTAGAAGACGATTTACAGTTTAATCGAATCAATTTACGATAAAATTGATCAAGTCACAACTTATATTGACCGATCGCTAAGCAGAAATCAAAATAGATTAGGATTAGATAGCATGATGGAGGAGTAAATCTACCACTGATTTAAATACTAGTATCGCTTAACAGATGAATAAAATACAAGGCTGAAAATTCAGTAATCAACAACTTCAACTAAGAGTAAAGACAGATCACGACATATCTCATGGCAAATCATAAGGAAAATTAGGTATGGATAGCATGCCTTGTGTTCTAATCAAATTTCTGTCTTGTCAATAAAACACAAATTGATATTACAACGAACAATCGGATCGGAGTCGGGTTCTTTCCTATCTAGGTTGAACATAGCTTATCTATTTTGTCAAGATTAAGAGACAAGTAAGCCTAGCATTTTCATGTTTTACGGATACAAACTTTATTTCTATTGCGCCGCTATAGTGAGATGAACACTATTCATTGGAAGACTGTTTTTTTTCTATTAACCCGAGCCTAAAGTACGCCTTTTGACTTCAGACAGCCTGAAAATGATAATAACTTAGACTAAAATAACTATTTTTTCTGAATTTCCTAAACCGGTTATCGCTACATTAACGCAAATTATTATTGAATAAAAGTAGTTAAGAAGCTTATCCTTTGATGGATAATAATTTATTAGTCTTTTAGTTACGTTAGTTTTCGTAGCGGCAAAGAAATTCAATGACAATTCGATCGTCATTTTGACCTAACAAACAATAGCCTTGAATCGATTTCCGGACACAGACTGGTATTGCTTAGCCATTTTTTAAACTATTGCAAAATGGCAATCGATGGTCTTAACACTGAAAATTGGGAATAATAGCCATCTATCTTTGTTGATATTCAAGGCGCTTGGAGCAAATAGCAGCAGCGGAAGTAGCTCAGAAGAGATGCAAATAAAATTAAGATTATACCCACGTCTATTGTTAAACTTCAGACACAACTTCCTTCTTATGTAAGGATTCTAGAATTACAATTTACTTTAATCTACAGTCTACAAATCCTTGCTCGATATCGACGTCAATACCCCTAGCAACAATTCTTACGATTTAGGAAAATAGTCGAAAGGCGTGAATAAAGCTCAATAGATAGGATGATGATCAAAGCTTATGTTAGTAGTATCTGAGGGGAAAAAATGCCAGACCGATAGAATAATGACTTCATTTTATCTTCAACCGGGAATTTTAGCATGGAGCTTCTAGTAATGAATAAATAGTATATCATGCATTCTAATAGAAATACTTGCGTGTCTATTTGCAACTTGCTATCCACCCTTTCATGCTTATAAGTGATCATCGACGGGAAGCAATGTTATCATGTAGGAAAAAATTAAGGCAAGAAAGTTTTAAATTCTTCCATTCAACATTTTGACGCCTTTGATCATTGAAATAGTAAAAATAGTTTCCTATTGATTCTTGGGCAATAAATTGTATTTGCTATGAAATCATGCATGATGCCATTAGCAATGGATAATTCACATTAAATTGACCATAATATTTCTTTTTAATTTCAAAAAATTGAAAACCAGCCTTTTCCCCTATAGCGTATTTTGCGTCGACATGATATCAATTGAAGACTATTTGACTGAATAAAAAAATTATGATAAAAGTGTAATTAGATCGTTTGATCTGCATAGGCGTTAAAACTAGCTCTATTTTTGATAGTGTAGTTTATTGGCTACGCTATGCGACTTTTAATAGCCTAGCATGGATACTACAAATTCCATATTCTTATTGTAATCTCATTTACAATTCTCAATAATGGCTAGCCATGTTGAAAATTATCCAAATTATTTGGTAAACAACCAGGTGTTGTTTTAAATAATTCATTCTATAATCCAACTATTTAACCAAGTCATCCTATCATGAACAGGATTCATTTATATTATCATAAAAACTGATCATTTCCACTACAAAAACTACTAAGTTATGCGATCTTGATGATGTAGTATAGTCATCGCTCAATTGCGTAGACATAAGGTTACCAAATAGGTCTGCGATGGCAACATAATCTTCAGTTATGCTACAATTTGCAGTATAGTACTAGGTAAATAACGATAATCAATCAGACTTGATTAAATACCACTTTCTCTCTGCTATACAATACTTTAATGATGGCCTGCTCAGTCAAGAGGCAGAAATCAATCATGTAGGCTAGTTCAACGGAAACATCATCAGCGATAGTGAACAAGCTTGTATTTAAATTTTATAGAACAAAAAGTTGTACAAGAGAAGATTACTTCCAAAGCCAAAGACTACTGTTATGTGATAAGTGCAAGTTGTAGGTAGTCAATTACAAAACAACAATGAGTAAACACCACTCCGCAGTTTCACTTTTCAACTTCTATCATATGATCAAAGGCATCCATTAGCATCCTATATAGGCATACTATTTATCCCAGTTGAACTCGGAGTTGATTGCAGTAGTATAGTGTTCATACCAGTGCATTATTCTACGACAAAATCATTTTACTCGCGTTTATAAAATAATATTGTGAATAGACTATTGGCTACTCAAGTGATAGCAGCACCTTAACTTTAACTGAGCAAACTAGTTCAACTGTTTAGGAATATTACACAATATCCATTGTCATGCAAGGACATTGCCATCAGTAAAATTTAGAAAAAATGATTGTTTTTAATTTCTATACAGGTTTGAGGGGTAGAAAATCCAACTAGTAATAGGTTCTACTTGATAAAGCTAAATGAGGTTCTAATTCGTACAAAGTTTCATCGAGAAGTACGGTATTATTCTTTTTCAACTTGGATCGTTTAAAAATAGTTGAGATAATAGTAAATAGGTTTACAAGATCAACTGCAGCAAATAATTTACAACAACAATCTGCACAACTTTAAGAGTCGATGATCACATCTCTAGACAATTGCATATATACGAGTAGTATTTATCATGGAATGAGTAATTTCATCAGACGGAAAGGTTTGGCATTAGTTGATTACTTTGAAAATATCTAAAGCAGTCAGCTTGCCATTATCTCTTCTTGAAGCCATATTTCTTCCTTTCATAGAATAAATCGGTTTTGGAACTACCCAAGTTGACAATTTTCGGGCAACCATCTCTCTATAAAGTTAACATGAAAATCAAAGCGTTGAGCATTCAAAGTTACAATTTACGATAACAATTTATGAAGTCTAGGAAAGAATCCTCTAGTAACTCACTATATTAGATTATTGTATCAGTCTACAAATAAAATACTGTACATCATTCCAGCATTACGTCTTGTTTAATACTCAACGCTACAATTAACGATAACAGTCTATTAACTCTAGGGAGAATTAGCTAACAACTAGCGATCACTACATTAAGTTAAATTATAGAATTAGTCCGCATCTAAAATATATCATTTCATCATTACGTCTTGTTGAATAGTCAATGCTACAATTACGATAATAGTACATTAACTCTAGGAAGAATTATCCAATAACTAGCTATCACTCCATTAAGTTCAATTATATACCCGTATAATTATTGTATAAGCCTACAGGTAAAATATATATCATATCAACATTACGTCCTATTGAATAGTCAATGCTATAATTGACAATCACTACCCAATTAAGTCTAGGAAGTAGGAAGAATCATGTAACATCGAGCTATCACTACATTCCATTGTACTATATTAGGCTATCGATCAAATACATCATTGCAGCATTACATCTTTCTCCTGGATGGTGCATTCTTTGCAATAATAAGCGTCAGAAATACCAGGTCCTCCACAAATAACGCATCGTCCTTGATATGATCCATAATTACATTCATCACAAATTCGTACTAATGTACATGGTCTTACATACGAATCACATATTACGCATTTTCCGTCGCCTATGTATCAAGAAGAAAATATTCTTTAGTCCAAGCTTGACATACGATCGCTATCGAACCTTACAACAAGCTTGACAAAAATCGTTTTCGTACGCTGGACTTGATCGTACTTTATTAGTCCAGTGTAAGTAGACATTCCATAAGCAATACAATCTACAAAATTATCCTCATACATTGGACTTGATCGTACTTTTAATCCAGGGTAAGTAGACCTAGTATGATCGCTACGGTATACGTACAAAATCGTCCTCATCATACGCTGAACTTGATCGTACTTTAAGTTTAGTGTAAGTAGATATTCTATAATCAATAGGTGATTGATAAAAATCGTCCTCAAGACAGGATGGTACTTGAAGCCAAGTGTAAGAAGACATTCAATGGTCCGTACAATTTACAATCTAGTACAACAGTTTAGTGCTGTTGTTGAAGCGTGATCACATTAGGGGGATTAGCATTTGCACTGCTCTACCTGGCTATCTATATTATACTACTACTACGATGGCGAAACAACCATTTCAGTTCAAATAAAAACTTCATTGCCTTTCTCCTCTTTCTATTACTAATTAATCGACCGTACCGTAGTACGCTATCTAACTACTCTTGTTAGTGGATCCTCGTGTATACATGATTACATTGAATGGAGAAGGTTATCAGCTATTTTTTTTTTAATCACATCTTCTACAGGAATACATCAGAAGCATTTTACCTTATCATTTTTATGGTTAACAATGCTAAAATTACAAGACTTACATTTCTCGCAAAGACGACCAATAGCTAAAATAGAAAAGTAGGAAAAAATTGGCATCAGAGTTGAACGTGAAGGAAATCAATCATGTCATCAGTTGCATGCCACAGTCATGTTACTACTTGGAAATAAAACTATCTAAGCTAAGCTAAAATCTTAAACTAACCTACACCAGGTTGCTTACGACACATGATCAAATCTGGATGATGTTTCGCCATAGTTCAACGCTTGAAATAAGATATTGCAGCCGAGAGAAAGTTCAGAGTTTGCTAGTAGCAATGGCGTTGGACGATGTTGGAACTGGTGAGAACGAACATGAAACGTTTTGAAATCTAGGTCCATGGGCATGCGCATCAACCCCGTTTAGCCGTAGCTAGTAAATGAGCGCAAAACATAGCCCATATACTATACTAAGTCTTGTTTCATTTTTTCTAATGACGAGTTGTATGGCTCATTCTCCTCTCGCTGTCTTATGGCCGCATGGAGACGGATGGATAGAGAAGTTGCTAAGGACAACTACAAGAACTTTGCTATTTTATCCGTGATGGCAGTCCTGCAGGTGGCCATAATTACACCTTATAATACTACGATTAGTCACTGTTGTGTCTGCCATAACTCCTTCATCAGCCAGCCGTAGATGATTCTCCATGAGTTCCTACGGCAATGCTGTACTAGAACTACAGTAGAACTAGAAGAGTAAAAGTCATGTTGAGATTTGCATGCTATGCATTGGATGATCATCCAATGCATAGCTAAACAGGAACGATGTTTTTTTATTATTTATGCCATTCCAACGCCTGTTATTTTAACGGCTGTGTTCTATTCTAGAATAAGATCTAGTAGTGGAAATAAGAGGAGTTATGGACCAAACATGAAGACAGCAATGGCATGTCGAAAACTGCATAAGAAAGTAGCAATACCACAGCTTAGTTATGAATACTAGAGTGTAAACTAACATCGGAGTGATATTTCAGCCCAAACTACGATCAACGTGATCCACTATAGACTACTAGAAGCAACCTTTCGTAGTCTATAGCTTGCAGTGGTAGAAATAAAACTCAAAATTGCATGAGAAAATAGCCATTTCAGCTCGACTGGTCATCCATCTTCTTGCTGACCAACGACTATAGACCAACCCAAACATAGCTTTCAATCACATAATAAAAGCTATATCGGAAAATGATCATCTTCCATTGACTAGTTGTGCCTACTCTACTGGATCACTATAGTGGTCCAAGTCTTGTGTTCAAAATGACTGGTAGTACTATCGACATACCCAAACATAGCTTACAGGATAATATAAAAAGGTGTAGGAGAAAAGGGTCGCCTTCGATTACCAACAGGAATAGGAACACCATCAGTCTATCTGTCCATCTTAAAGTCTATGGCAAGCTGACTGGAAAATGGCTGCAACAGCCTCGTATGCCTTATATATTTTAGACGAAGAGAATAGGTAAAGAAAAGTCCCAGTTGCAGCTGGAATTGCTATTCTATGATAGAAATAACAAGTTATTTTACACTCTGTATGAGTGATGGATAGTGTAGTTTACTTAGGACTGCTATAGCAGCCCATGTAGATGGTGTGATGATGTACGTTGACATAAAGACTATTTTCTTGGTTGTTTTGTAGTAGTTTAACCAAGTTGCTAACATCGTTGGACGACGAAAGTGAATCACAACTACGCCAATATGTAGAAAGACAACTTAAAAGACTCCTTTCTCAAAGTGGATTTGTTATTACTACGCAATTAAGGTAACACTAGCCTAATAAGATTGGGCTTGAAAATGGATAGAAAAATACTTTCAAATTCATACAGTCTATCTATTTGAAAATCACCATGACGACTCCTATGCTTACCTCAGGGAATCATCACCTACTTCCATGTGCTACTTGTCTCTACTCGATAGCAAAGAAATAGCTTGCAAGTAAGTCTTGGAAATGATCTTATTGAAATTAACGTTAACGGTAGCCATAATAACTAGACTGCAGTATGGAATAATGATTATAATGATCATCCAATTGAGGCTATTCATGACACTGCTGATATTAATATCCAATTTTTGCCTTTTTACATTAGACAGAAATTTATAATCTGCTTTATTGACAACGACGATGAAAAGCACTTGGATTCATATCTATTCAATTATATTCATATGAGTAACGTTATTTAGGATATAATCGTACATCATACAATTGAGCTGGTTTGCTGTTTAAGGTAGATGCAATGTGGATGCACAATCGTAGGTTCATTTTACTATCAGTGTAAACGATAGAATCTGAGTTCACCAAAAATGGATAATGTTTGTTAGTAACGTAGATACAATTAATGTTGATCTTAATGTAGACGTACATTTGCCTCAGTAGCATTGTAAAGGATATGATCTCAGTGCTAGAATTGATCAAGTTTGCTATGAAAAGTAGATGCAATAGTGATATTGATGGTAATATATCTACGTGTACATTCAATTTAGAAGCATTGTAAAGGATCGACGTTCACAGAATTAATCGAGCTTGTTATATAATGTCGATGCAATATTGATATTCATGTAGAATTCATTTCAGTGGCATGATACAGGACATAATTGCTACTCATACAATAGATCAAATTTTGCTTTATAATATGGATGGAGTTGATGCAAATTCACCTACTCGTATACATTCATTTCAGTAGCATTATAATGGATATGATCACAGTTCACAAAATTAATCTTATTTGCTCAAATAACGTCGATACATATTTGATATTAAACTTGACGTATATTGTTTTCAGTAAAATTGTAAAAGATATCGCAGTTCACAGAATTGATCAAGTTTGCCTTATTACGTAGATGCATTATTTGATGTTAATATGGATGTATAGAACATTCATTTCAGTAGTACTAGTGCAAACTCCCGTCGCTTTGCTGTACATTCGTTCTAGTAGCCTTATCAAGTACTTGATCATCATTGCTATAATTGATTGGCCAAAGACTGCTATATAAAGTAGATGTAGTGTTGTTATTGAAAAAATCTAAAAAAGGGGTAGAAAGTAAAGCTCTAAACAGATTCGGCTTTGTATTACTTTGGATTACCATGTAAGCTACGGGTATAAACCTTAACCAATACGCAAATTCAGAACTGAGTTGGACGCTTACGTTAAGACTCTAACGGCTAGTCTGGCCAATTTCGTAAGTATAATCAAGCATTCGTCTTACTTTTTCGTGTATTAGTGCAGTTTATACGTATATGTAGACATAAACAGCTTTCGAATGTGTTCGAACGTACATACAAATCATTTATTAATAATTCTTAAGAGTAATTTCTTGCTACTATGGACTCTTTTTGTATGAATCGATTAACCCTTCAGTAATAAACCTTAATTATGCTATTTAAAATTTCTATTTACAAACTTACGCAGGATGCTGACAGTAAGATATTATCCGAAGATACTGTGAATATATTAGAGTTATGGTATACGGAGTGTGTAAGTTTTTTTGAATACAGCAATGCAAAATTACCATGTATCCACTGTGTTGATTCGTACCTATATATTTATCGTAAACGGTGTAAATAATATTTACCAATTATGCCCAATAACATGCTCTAGATACATTACATTAATCGCTGCACGAAAGTATTTGGTAAAGATTTAGCTCTTTTAATTCATGCAGTAAGTATTCTTTATCTATGGATATCAATCCTACGTAATTTTTGCTATATCGAAAAGCTCCAGGTTAACATTATGTAACTTATGCTAGGCCCTCTTTAATACTTCCATCAATGTCAATATATCTGCAGAAACTAATGACAACCGCCAATTATCAACAGATATTAAACGGTTTGTATATGCTGCTATTAGGAAATAATTTAATCAATGGTGTCATTTTGCTACTTGACTTCAACTATCATACATATGCGCTTAGACTGATTATCTAGCAGTAGTTCTGAAGCCAACAATTTTAAGACGTAAGACAAAAAATTTAGCCTTACTTTTAACCCATAGGTTCTTAATGGCTGGCAGTCTCACCAGATTAATTTCTAATGATAATGTAAGTAATAGAAAGTAAAACATTTGAAAACAATTAAAGGGTATTAATCCACATCAAGACATTTCTTCTGTAAATATGACAGCATTACTATTTACGACTACTCCAAGGTACAAGAAAATTTAACTAAAAGTAGTGACACTAAGGAACTATTTAATAGTAAAGTCTTAGATCTGAACATTGATGAATCTGGTTATGAATTTAGCTCCAAGGGTTAGTACTTCATAAGCGAAGACGATATAAAATTATCTTGATTAATTATGCGAGCTTACACAAAGTATTAATACGTACATTTAGTGGGTGTAAAGTTTTATTTTTGCAAGTAATATTCATGTCTTTAAGCTTGTATAATTTACCAGTCTTAATTTTACAATTAAGTAATAAATCATGACTATTTGCAATGGTAGATGTTAATGCCTCATGTACAAAATGGACAGAAATCATGCTGAAAGACGAATCCAGTTCTTCATTTGCTTTAAGGCAAATTTTAGAAGATATGAAGCTTAAGGTTAACTACAGTTTATTAAACGTCATTTCTTAATTCAACAACCGTTTCGTATTTTGCCTAAGAACATCTCATGAGTATAGCGTAATCACATTTACGACGGTATCTGTAATACTGATGCCTGTGTTATTTATATCGCAGCAAATTCATTAGTTATACTAATGGTACTAATGGTAATTGTTTCATAGACTGTACAAGAAATGAACCTTTTAAAACGCATAGTTACACAAGCGCAACGCAGTTATTATGATTTATTCAGGTACGATAGGCGAGTTTAACTAACACACTGAAAATGATGCTATGTTCACAAACTTGGTCATTCTTAACAGACGCTTACCATCTTCAAGCTACATTTTAAGATTAAAAATTAAATAACCGGAAGACCCACAAACAACGATTTTGTTTTGATTTCATTTTAGGGCTTACAAATTTTTAATCAAATGTGGTAATGCCGATGTTATCATGAAACATTTATATAATGGTTTAGCAAATGATAGTGATGAAAATATTGAAGATATCATTACTCTACTCCATGAAGCATACATAAATAGGGAACCTTGTGAATTGTAACGAAGAGAATTTTATTCTATGTTATAACATGATATTTTAATGAATACCATACAAAGATTATTTTATTTAGCCAATAGCGATGTTTTAGTCAAGATAGATAGGGAAATAAACTATTTCAATTTAGTGAGTCGTGTAAGGCATAAGTAAGCAGGAACGAGCGTTTGTTTATTCTATAATCTGATACATTTATTGGTCTTAAATACAATACATAAATATGATGTTACATGTAAATTTACATCATTAGAATTATGACTTACAATATTGTATTTATTGCATATATTTTGATAAAAATTTTAATGGAGGCGACGTAGCAGCAGTTATTTTAAAAACTTATACAGTTATCATCTCTAACCAATTTCAATTTCTTCCAGCAAAATAAAGAAGTTTAGTGATTAATTGCATTCCGAACAATTGCGTTAATTGGACTTATTGATAATGCCTTTAGCTGTTAAGATTTGACAAGAAATACAAATTGAGGTAGATACTTGAGCTAATAATTTCGCAAAACACTCGCATATGTGATATATAAGTGCATACTGTGCTCTTGGACATATTTCTATCCAGATAATCAATCACTGCATTTCACGTTACTAGTTTTATACGAGTATAATTCGGAATATTAATTATTTAAATTTTATAGTAAAATTAATAGCTTGCACATTGATAAGCATATTTATTCGTATTAAATTTTTCAAATCTTGTACTTTAATCTCGTACAGTATGATTCTAACCCCAGAAGGAAGTGTAGTTTTAATAAGTTTTTTATCTGTTTACTTATTCATTACATTAGCAGATTAAAGCAACTTATAGATGCTATCATCATATTTTAGTCATGGAATTAACGATAGAATACAGTGACAACTTGATAAAGCAAACTACAATCTCAAATTTTCATAGGCGTACTAGCTTCTATTTCATAGTGGATTTCTTCCCACTAGTTTACTTCCAAAAGTAGAATTTAGTCATCTTGCATACAGATTAGTGTATGTCTATGACACCTAATAGAATAGCAATAACTTAAATTTTACGCAGACTGACTGACTTTTGCGTAAAGTAAATACGTGCAACTTTTCGCATGAAAGTGCTCACATTCAATTCTATAACCAGTTTATATAGCATTCATTTAATGATATTAGTCTGCTCAACTTTTCCATATTTAAGTAATGAAATGGAAGGTAATGATAAATGTAGCTACTGGAATAACGGAATCACATCTAAAATTATAGTCGTATAATAACATCTAAACATACTAAATTAAAACAACAAGAAAAAATCGTTCATTTAGCCATTAACATACTTGATTTGACGGCGGATATATCAGTAATAAAATGACATATTTTGTTATAACGAATAATAAGAAATTGTAGCTAAAAGTAATCACAAAATTCCGCCAGATAATCGTAATAACGCAAATAAACTGTAGAAATTTCAATAATAGGATACGAAAATCTGGCAAATATCCTGGTAGGTTAAATGATTAGTAAATTAAGTTCCATAGTAAAACAAATCATCGCAATCGCTAAAATCAATCTAAAATGGACATACAATCTTAACTTCAATTACAGAGATGTTGATATCGTTGATTTAATGTAATAATAAGTACTGTTGATTACTATAATTATGGATAATGAAACACTTGATATAATCTTAGTTTCGAATAATTATAACCGAAGTTACACAATCATTTCAAATTAAACCACAATTCTAAAATTTAAGCGGCTAAAAATTTTAAATAATATTTATTGCACCGTAACTAAAAGCTACTACTCATAAAATTCTTATGTTTGTTTACGTACTTAATACTGTATATCATTTGACTAATATGAGGTATGGCATTTTTTTATAGCTCATACAGCCACCTGCTTTAAATACTTTCAGTAAATTAAAAAAACTATCTAATTCAAATATTTGAATGCAATCTCTATCTAAAAATGTCATACCAGTAAGATCTACAAAATAAAATGCGACATAGATACGACAAAGTAGGAAAGACTGTCTAACAATTGCTTCAATTTCTGAAAAATTCTAATGAAATTGTAGATAGTTGCCGTCGTTGTTACTTTCATTTCCATTCTAAAAGCAACAAAGCAAGAGGTTAGATACTTAATCTCCAATTAAAAAAATGAAAAGGTATTAAAATATCATGCAATAGTTTACGAGTTGTTGGGTCAGTCATTTAACAGTTCATGTTTAGTCTCTTTAAAATTAAAAAAGTTCAGTCGAAGTTTTATCATGTATGTCGTAGAAAATCACCTAATCTTCACGTACGTCTTCCTCTTCTTCTTCACGTTCTCGTCGTTCTTCTTCTTCTTCTTCTTCACGTTCTCGTCGTTCTTCTTCTTCTTCTTCTTCACGTTCTTGTCGTTCTTCTTCTTCTTCTTCTTCACGTTCTTGTCGTTCTTCTTCTTCTTCTTCTTCACGTTCTTGTCGTTCTTCTTCTTCTTCTTCTTCACGTTCTTGTCGTTCTTCTTCTTCTTCTTCTTCACGTTCTCTATACATGATAATAATAACAATTTATAAAAATGATTTAATAAAGTAGTTACTCTTCCATTACTTTTGGCATATTTTATCACTTACTCATCAGCTCTGGCTTCAACTTCTACCTCTGCAGTTGCCTCAATCTCTTCATCATGATCCTGAAGCAATTACAATTACCCAATTTTTATTATTATTTGCAATTCTAGGGTACAATCTGTTGTTACTGATATCAAATTGACTAGGAATTTTTATATGCTTCATTGTGTATTACCTCGTCTTCATGATTATCATCAGCATGGCTAGGAAACCGAAATAACAGAATAGGACAAATATATAAGTATTATAACAAAAATTACAACAACAAATATTCCAATGATAATTTCATTACCCATCTGCAGACCCTTCTGGCTCTGCTTTCACTGGACTTTGACGGTACATCTCGTCCACTTCCACTACGCAGTCAGACGATATGTAGCCTTCCTTAGTGATACAGAAACGTTGAAGTTCACTAGGTGTTTGTAAATAGAATCCCTGTCCATTTCTTGAAACAATTGCAGATCGTTTTGCAATAGCATTATCTTTTCCAATACAATTTATACGAGCCACTAAGCGTAAATCAGGGACGGTATACATAACCAGTTCTCCACGATTTGTTAAGCATCCTAATAAACCTGGGGCATTATCTGCAAATCAATTTAAAACATCAAGATTATTCGCTATACCAGGTATTGTAGCTGAAGGCAAATACTAGATTCAAATTTACCTCTGACTCTAATTAAACCGCTTTTAGCGACACGGGAACCATCAATAACAGTGAGTTTTTCCTTATTACGGAATTTAAATGATGGCAACGAATAGACCTACATTTGCACGAAGATGAATTATTTATTACCTTATTAATTCCTTGGTTTAGAACGTATAACAATATTTATTGATATCAATGTAATGACAATACCTTAATTTGCTCTTCCGAAACAATAACAGCATAATGCGCTCCATTCGAAGCGGGCTCTAAGTTTAATAAGAGGAGAAACATAAACATGGTTAAACCAATTTGGGAAAGCTTACAATTGCAATAATATCAATCATAAATTATTAATAGAGCAATATCAGTACTTTTAGCTTTTCCAAATTCGACTTCAAAAGGTTCAGGCAATATACTTCCCTTGGTATCAGCAATTAAGACATCAACAATTGGTGCTCTATGCTCTAGTTGAATAATCTTAGCTGTTTCGATATTAAAAATAAAACAATACGTTTGGTAAAACAATTGTTCCAAAATAACTACTACAATCAACGCTGATTTTCAGGTTAAAATAATGCTAACCTTCCTGAACTTTAACTTTTTCTGATGATCTAGCTTCTTTATCGGGCAAAGTAATATGATCAACAAAAACTGAACCTAAATTTGTTCCAGCCCACAATGTTGGCCCATGAGTGTAACCTTCGCGAATCAATGTATTGGCAAAGTACAACGAACGCACAAGAGAGCCGGACGCCTCTTCTCTAGGTTCGATTCTTCGTGATCCAGTTGTTTCAACGTCACCAGATTTTTTGGGAGTGTTACCACCAGCTCCACCACGGCGACGGAAAGAACTTCGAGCACGACGTACAGAATTTCTCATCGACCTTCTGAATGATTTTGAGCGGTTGAATGGGTTGATTGCGCTGTCTTTTTCTATAATAACCATATAAATAGATGCATTTTCAATTTTTATAGTTATCGTACTAATGCTATCTTATCTTTAATTAAGTTACAATACTGTACTAATTTAATTATTTATTAACCGTAAATTCCATAAGTCCATCTCTTCCAGACTGATGATCCATTGTTATAATCAAACATTCCATATCCTTGTCCACAACCTACAGCAATTCTAGTGAATGTATAATTTGCGTTAAAGCGTAGTGAAAAAAATATTTACGCCAATCTAGATTAGCTAGCTACTTTAAACATTAAAAACCATTAGATTAAAACTTACAATTCCCATTCGGTATGAACTGCTAGGGCTGTCACTGCATCTGGAGGATATAGCTGAGCCCAGTGAGTAGCTTGAAAACCTGGTTGCATAGTGATGCTTTCTTTTCTACTCATCAGTTGTTCCATACCACCCCAACGGAATTCTTGGTCATCCGGTAAATCAATACGGATCGGCTATTGTTTAATGATACAACAAATAGTGAAAATTGAATAATTTCAATTAAGCCATCGATAAGGTATTGTTTATGCAGTATGCAATTATTAGTTAAATTGATTACGATTCATTTTATTACTTTATAAAATTTTAAATAAAATTACATGTTACCTCAAGTTCACGTTCTGTTGCTTCTTCTGATAATTCAAATACTAAAACTTGGCCACCAGCTCCAGCTGCAACCAACGTATTACGGAATGTACATAAATGCAAATGAAGAATAGCGAGACGTGCATCATCGCTAAAAGGATCATAGCTTCCAACTTTCCTGAATGGCGGCCAATTATCTTCTTCTTCATTTTTGTCACCGTCTTCTTCATCACCTTCGGTAATGAAGTACGAAGATGTCGACAGAGTATACAATAATTGCAATGAAGTATTGCTAACATCCCAAAATCTAATTGAGCCATCTTGATGACCAGTTAGTAGAAGTTCCGATCTATTACTATCACTATTCATAGCTTGGCCACCGTCAATTGGCCAAGGACAATCGGAATATTCATTCTTGCATTGCAGAGTCCCAGCGGAGCGAATCTTTTCAAGCAATTCTTGCGGACAATCAGATATATGGGCAGAAGTAGTAATTGGCGTGACATGCGGACTGGAAAGGTACGGCTTTTGGAATAACGGAAAACTTTCATGATAGAGATCTATCATTACCAATTCTTCTTCCAACAAAATGACAACAGCCCTAGTATCTTGATTTTCTGATAATATCGATTGGATAAAATGAATTTTAAGAAACAGTCATTAACTTTAGTGGCGCAATACTAGGAAAGAAATTCATTATTTTTGCGGATACCTTCACTGGCATTATCCCCGTAGAAAGGTATGAAATCGCATACTGGAGAAGTAAAATCAAAGACGATATGCTTTTTGCCTTGCATAACAGTAACACAATGACGGTCACCATGACTTGCACGTGCCATACCACCAGAGAAGATGATGTATGGATCACTAAAATTGATTAATTAAGTCATTAAAATGCGTGCATTCGGTGTCGGTAAGTATGAATACATTTAGCACATTACTACAAATGCTCCTGAAATCTACCTATCAGAAGTTGCCCAAGCAATTTTATTGATAGCTTTGCAGGGAAATGGTCCATAAGGGGTCGATGGAGGATGTTCTGGATTAGCAGGGTCGTTAACATTCCATACCGCGAAACTGCCATCATTGTGAGCTGAGATAAATTGTGTGCCACTTTTATGCCAACACAAAGATTCCAATTCCTGCATAATGAATAACTATGGTAAAATCTGTGGTAGAATAATGGTAAAATTTTCATGGAGTATTTACCAAGGTTCCCATGTAAACATGGACAACTTCTTTTCCAGCAAGGTCATACAATGCAACAAAGCCACGATTATACCCAACAAGGAGCTATAATATTCAAAAATACAGCAATATGAATAAAGCTATAGGCTACATCCGATACTTCCAAATAAAGTCACTCGATTTTGGAACCAATTGTATATATCATATATATGTATAAATTAATATAATTTTAGTAAGTTACCTGATTGCTATCAGATGGATTTTGAGTGATAGATTCAATAGGACCAGGGTTGACTTTATTATCATCAGATACACTACAACAAAGAGCAAATAACAAATAGAATGTTACCAATTTTAAATAATCTACTATTAACATAATCTAATACGATTATAACAATTATAATAATCAATAATATCATTGATTATTACTTTTGCAATACAGCATCTTGGTGAATAAGTGGATCTTCAACTAACGTAAGTTCGGCAACATCAAAGTCATAGATATTACCAGCATCAGTGCCGATGTACAAATGCTTAGCATCTTCATCTAAACAGCAAGCCGAGATTCTCTTTAACCTACTAAATACGTGCAAACAATTTTTTAATAATCCTATTCGGACAAAATAAAACAACACCAAATATCTATGCACTTCAATATCATAATAAGTAGCAATAGCGAATGTATTATCAACAGCATGAAATTATACTAGGTGGTAAAAGTTCTAAAATTTGAGTTAGGTTATATTAGAATAAATTACTACTACTGGATCTAATTAATTATAAAATTAACATACTTTCCGTCTAAAAGGTATCTCTTCGTTTCTCCTAATTGTGATACTTGATTTTCGGTATTTATTTCCCACATGCATATCATATTATCTTCACCAATACTGATTATACGTCCCTGGTAACAATCATGCAATACAACACTTTTATCATCCAGTACATAACTGGAAAAAATATTCTAGAATAAATATGATCGATGCTATAATATTGATTCAGAAATGTAAACGTCATATCATTTAATAGTATCAAATAATTCGATCTTTTCCTATTATTTAAAATTAATTGTTGATAGCAAAAATGGAGTTAATGACGTTTTACAGATATTTACGGGTACAAAGTACAAATTATAACTCATTCTTAGTAAAGTCAATCTGTATCATGTCTGTCAGTTATATTAAGTAAATTGAATACATCTTTTACATCGTTCACTATTCAAGTTTCGGATATACAACATTTTCAATTAATCGACTCTTGAATAACGTCTGTTACGCTATAGCTCAACTACTGTAAATTGGATAGTGCATAACATAAAATAGTTTTTATCATGAATATATAACGAATCTTAAACTAAAGCTTTTCGCTAGCGTACACCCCAAAATGTCAAATCGACTTTTAAAGTACATAACTTTTCCTTCATTCCATTATATTAACAGTTAATACCTTCAGTATTTTAGATATATCAGTATCATATTATCTATTAGGAGCCATCGATAATCAATCGACGATTGATAAAACACTAAATTGTGATAGGGTTATGATCACCGCAGATATTTACTTTATCCATGATAATTATTTTCGTAGCTTGTAACAAAGGTTAAGTGATGTTTAGCAACGTTGTACAAGTTGATAGCACGGCATAATATTAACATCCTTCATAATATAATATGAAAGAATTAACAATGATAACAACAGTAAATTACATTGAGAGGATTAAAGAATCCAAAAGTAAAAGAATCACAAAAAAACAGTGGACAATGAATGGACTAAAATTTTTAACATAAAATTAAAATACTATATAAAGATCAGAAACCTACACCATTGGGTCTTCCAAATTCATGTAGGTCTCTGATGTATGTGTATGACGATGAATATCTATTGTAGAGCTATACTGCAGTCAGTTTGAACAAGTAGCTTTCTAAATAGTTTCATTGTAATATACGTAGAACTGTATTTCACGTATATAGACTAGTACCGAATATCGGTTTAACCCTACTTGTCTCTATGGAAAAAATATTACATTATTTCATCACCAATTACTGTAATTACAGGGAGTGCAGTACCTTCGCTGATATTGGTCATTGCTCAAGTCTAATCGTAGAATTATTCATCATAGAAATAAACTGTCATTTGTATTAAGCATGCTATCGAAAAGAATTTCTTATTATTACTAACTAGCGAAACACGTAGAAATTCCACGGAATAAAGGCTAATTTTACGTTATTATAGACAGTTAAAATCGGTAGGGGAACCCCTGAAAATTCCACAGAATCTAATCCAGCTTTAAGTTGTACTAGACAGTCAGAATGCGGTTTACTAACGGTGTGACACACGACTAATCGCATTAAATATGATTTGATGATTATTGATACTAGTCGGACCCACGCTCGTTCTACTTCTACTGTACTTTTTAATCAAGTATAAATTGATTACGGATACACATCAATAGCCGAAAAAGATATAACATACTAAAGTCAATATCCATCGCTACCACAGCAAAAGTATTGTATATATATATATATAGATATAGGTAGGTATGAATAGTAGATTTGAATATTTTTAGTGGTTGGGCGTTAAGCATTTTTCGAAGTAATGCATGTACTTTTCTTTATCAAGGGCGGTGGTGCCCTTGATAAAATACTACGCCCCTACAAGGCACCCACAGTGCTATAGAAGGCAAACGGCAAAGACAAACGACGGGTGATCATCGTTGTACTAAATTCTCGTGCTGTATCTGTTATTAATCCATACTGAAATTGGGGATTAGTACAATAGAATAAGACGATAACATAACATAGATACACGTCATTACATGAGAATGTAATTAATAAGGGTGTTGCGCTAATTAATCTTTGGATGCAAAACGTATTACCTCGTTTACCATGGATAAATAATTCATGCGAACAGAATATCTCAGGGGCAGAGTCAATTGTCAGGTTTACAACATACACTTGTAGTACTGTACTTTTCCACTACAATTTGCTAATTCATCTTTCTTTTAGACAGGAAGCCGTAGTCACTGGCGTCACTGATAACAGCTTTTCTTCTAATGTTATTATGTATGTAACAATAGCAATCTTCTTTAACGATTAGGCTACAATTATTACTAGACTTTTAATAATATTTTCTACTTTATTAACGTCAAGCCACATGCATACCATCCTGAATTGCAATGCGATCACATCTAGAGATGTCAAGTAGGAATCGACATTTTATAGAAGTCGTGTATAATAATATCTACAGTAATCAGCTAGTATAATTCTCTTAAGCTAAGTAAAAATATAGATTTCAACTTTTCGTTCAGTATAAATCTACAGAGTACCGGAAATCACTCTCTAAGATGCAATACAGTGACATTAGCAGTATATAATGATCATTAATATCGTTAGTAAAAAAAGCAAAGATACCTAACGTATACATAAGTTAAGTTAAAATTTGATGGCTTGAAGTTATCTAATACAATCTGATAAGTGAAACGTATAATTTTTAGCTGATATCAGGTACTGTAGATACATGCAACAAAGGATTAATGTAGGAAACTTTCAAAACATATTATACAGTATATTCGTTAAGATTACTCTGAATGATACTGGATTATCAGTAATATGACTTGTACCTATTAACATTTATAACTTTGTACGACCATTCGCATGAAATTACGCACACAAACGAGATAGCAGTTAGCGAATAAGAAATAAATTCAATATCAAGTACGAAATAAACTTGGGATTTATGAGAGATACATTATTAGAGTTAGATCCTGTTCGTCAAGAAATGAGGATTAAAATTTTAAAATTCACAGTCTCGACGTCTATTTAATGTATCCCTCCCTCCCTCTAGGATTGCTGGTAAGGAGAATATTCAACTTAATGATAAAAACCTTACTAATAATAAATACGATAGCATTACAATAACAGTACAAAGCATTGCAAGTAAATCAATCGTAACGTTCATTTCATCAATACGTTACGCCAATTATAATGTGGGAGGGAGGTAGATGACAGATGCCACTAAAAACAGGCTTCCCCTGTCGAAATACGCACGCATTATTAACCCTAAATAACATGCACACTTTGCATATCACAAATATTTTCATTTTCAATGTTTGATTTCTTCTCCATAACATAATCGTTTCACGCGAAGCAAAGATACCCGCTTTATCAATAAAAACAACAATCATACCGATAACAGAAATAATCTAATTTTTTCAACAATTTATCGAGATTGAAGTTTATTACCGATAGTACTGTATTGGACTCTACTGTAGTTCCTACATGATACAATCAGCTATAGCTGTTATTCTCATTATCGGCCATCAAATTATAGTAAACAAATTGAATACCAAACCAACTGACGAAAACAGACTTGCCCTCATATTGATAAACTATTACTATGTGTACATAATTCGTAATGGTCATATTTTATAGGTAACTAATAAAAGAAGCACTAAAATACAATGTCGTAGTCTTATCCATATATGGTTATTCCTTATCCTTTTCATCGGTAATACATGCATGCTATCAACACATACTTTAATCGGTTAATAGGATAACGTAGGGCATAGGTATGAATACATGTAGGAAGTTTATTAGCCCAAAGAACTTGAAAAATTTTTTTTTGAATGCTGACAGACTACCCGTAGAGCGTATGTTTTGAATTTTTGTCCTTCATCCCTTTTATCTTATAAATTGAATTTCATAATAGCGTCTCCAAGAAGTAATCGATTCAATTAAACGTATGGTAATAGTAACTATTATCGGCCGAGTCAAACACATAGAATTCGTTCGATCCGTTAACACATTTGTTATATCTAATTTCTCGACGTAAAAATTTTTATCTCTCTGACGTGGTCACGTTTATCGAAATCCAACAATTAAACGTTTCCATTCTTATTTTTCATTATAAGTATAATAGAATAGTACAGTTACTTTCTACATATTTACTCTAGTACTTACTTGTCCTGGCAAAAAGAACAAATGTGTGATCACCACATCGCTCATGTGGCGAACTGTAAATTCGACTCCAGGTTGGCCATAACTGTAAAGGCAATTAAGGATACATAATCGAAAAGAAGCGATACAACAACAAGTAAAAAAATTAAGAAAGCAAGTACGTTCCTAGTATCTCTATCAAGTAGTCATACTATACAGTACATTATTATACAATCCACAAATGATCATTTAATATAAAACTTGGTCATGATTGTTCGGAGCCTAACCTCTAATTTCGATTAAATAGAAGTACATTTTCGAGGTGTACAAAGTTAATAATAATCTCATCCTACAGGAGATGTTTCAGACACTTATCAGCAGCATCATACGAATGTCAATATCCCGACTATAACATTCCGTGAAATTGTACATGCTTACATATCTAATTATGAGATAGTGCCTTTCCATCCTATTTCACTAGAAGGATATATTTTTGCCCTGTAGCATTTACAGCATTACGCTTTACTACACCTCGTTAACTACATTGAAATTATTGATAACGCAGTACCAGGGAGTGCTGTTAAAAATAGTACAGTATTACAACATGAACAGTTTCAAAGATAATTTATATAATCATCTTATACGCATATAGTTTTAGCCTTTAGTATCATCATACAGCACGATCTTCAAATAGCAGCAGGTTCAATTAATTAATAAAATTGTAAAATAACTTTCCCTAGTGATAGTTCATCTTACTAGGATAATAAATGTAGTAGTATATAATGTATTACATGATGAATAACGATCTTAAAACAATACAGTGCATCTTTACAATTAGGACTACGCCGTAGGCTTTTAAAATTTTACCTATAGGTAAAATGCAAAGAACATCGTTCAACTATCCTTAAGCGGCTTTTAAAATTTTACCTAGCTTACTACACTATAACTTAGTGACACATGGCTTACTATTTTCGAGGATCAACTCAAGTAGCAACGTCGGACTACAATGAAAAGATCAATACAAAGTACTATGTAGGATAAAAATGTCGGGCAATTAATCGCGTCATCATAAAAAAAGAGAAGTTCCACTAGAACTATAAGACACTCGTTGAATAGTTTAAATCCACCAAATTTGACTTAGCATTATATACTGTACGTTACTATTCAACTCGTCATATAAAATTTCAATTACATGGAAAATTACACCGTAATAATCACGATAGTAGATAGCAAAAGAATTCTTCAAATTCAAATTAATGCATCTATCAATTGAGTGTATGCTACCTGTGCAGTTAATAATACTACTGTACACATCAATGCTTGCTGCAAGTAAATTCTTTCAAGAAATAGGCAACAGATTCATTTGAAATTTTCCCCTTTGATATTAGTAACACTGATCTTACGATTGAAGCATAATCATTCCTTAGAATTTAGTCAAGATACAGTAAAGCAGACAGCGAAAAATCTTGTGCGTACTCATAGTTTGCGTATCACTTGAACTCTATTGTTGTAGAAGTGTAAAGCATTTTTTTTTTATTTCATCGATTAGTAGTCTAACAGCATAAAGTACAGTAACCATTTGGCCGGTTTGGAGTCTAGAAAAGGCTAGATGAAAAATGGGGATGTAGAGAAGATAATGACAAGTAGTGCAGATAAAATGATCGCTAGGTGATTTTAACTGATGTACGATTGCCGACGATTCAGTATTTAGCAAGGCGATCAAGTTTAAAGCGAAACTATTTGTACTACAAATATGTAAAACAACTCATTTTGTATTTGTTTAGGAGTGAACAGCATTATACACACATAGCCGTGTGCCATATGTTCGAATCTCTGAATAGGCGTAAAATAATAACTACCGTATCATGGATTTTTGTCGTCGCTATCACTCCATTGCACTCCCTTTTCAATGTCTACTTAGTCCATTCTAGTGTATGATAGGGAACTGGCTTAATGATCTACATCATTTTCAATACTGGAAACTGCAACTGCGGAGCCTTTCGACTACGATAGTAGTACAATCCAAAACTGCAGACTAGTATACAAAGTGGATGAATAAATGCTACTGAGTGTCGCCATGTTTAAATCATTGTTGCGAGTAATTATTGAACACTATAGCGTAATGCTCCACCCATCAATACCATTCAACAGTCTGCAAGTTGAGTGACGACTGACTAGATCGAGAATTATCCGTTCAAACTAGCTAGTAAAGCCTGCAATTTTCAATCAATACATGACATATCGTAGTAGTATGCTTGTCGGTGGAAAACTAACCAGTCAAAATCAGCCTACTGTATACGAGCAAATAGGTGAAGGATGCCAATGTAAAGGTCAACAACGTTGGAAAGGAATCATTAGTGAGTACTCTACTAGACAGCATTGTGTAAACATCAGTCATAGGATAAGATATAGGACTAATCTAGTCAAAGAACATTGAATGATTGGTCGATCCCAACCGGATACTGTCGATGGATTAGAGTATTTGTCTTCAAAGTCCCTGACTAGTATGATGATAAAGAAGCTCCTACCCCAAAATGACAATCCTACATCAACATAAGAAAAACGAATCTGTGGTATGAACGTCTACTATTCGCCATGATCTAATCAACAAAACAATTATTTATGGACAAATGCTTTGTTCAAATTCAGTCAACTTGTTACACTAGTGAACTAGTATACAGTATCATGTATCGTTGATGTTGTTTGCTGAAAAATGAATATTACTGTGGTCCATTGATGCAGTGAATAGACTATTATTGTATACTATAGGTTAGGATACACCCTGATTACTCCATTTTGAGTTCCAATGGCCAGCAATCGCAGTTTAGGATCATAAGCGATGGCGCTTGGGCGATGAGGGAAGCCAAACTGTACCGTCTATAATAGTAAAAACAAGAGTGCAAGCTTTGATTAAAATATGCATTAAAACAACCAACATAGCAAGTTTGACCGACTGTTTGGTATCCAATTGGATTGTAAACGTGTAGACTATTTACGTGTTTCATTCATGCAAAAAAAAAAAGAAAAGCCAAACGAATGTAGCAATATAAACAGCAATCTAGTGGTGACTGTATTGGCAGTCCAAGTCAATTCTATTTCTTCTACAGTACTTCCTGGCCTATTCTAACTGACAACAGTAGAGGTGCATGTTCCCCCAAAAAGAAATGAGACTTGCATCACGCAGAAAAATAATCCTGATTGATTGACATGAACTTATGATTCATTCAAGACCGACAGCACAGTCATATGACGTGTAAAATGGCTGCAGGAAAACAAAAATGGATTTTGATTTTATACATTGAATCATCATTGCAAAGAGCAATCAATGTCAATGCTATCTACCGTTTTATTTCATTTTTTTTTTTTTTTTTTTTTTTTTTTCTAGTCTACAAGTACAGAAGAAAACGACTACGGCCAAAGGCAAGCAGGCTGTAGTGGCCGCGGTAATATGTGTAGTATGGAATATTACCATTGGTGATGCTCGTGTGGTCTAGTGAAGAACGAACGGGCCCCTTTGATGGCCGGTTTCTGTCATGAAAGAGCACGATCTTGCAAAGGTTGACCCTGGAATGTTGCCCGTGGTAGTCTTGACGTCAGTCGAGTATGTACCATTGTCGTGTCCAGGACTAGACACTATTGTCTACAAGTGCTGAGTCAAGTGCTATGGCTCTAGGGTTTAATACTGCTAGGGTGCCACCGTCATGTCCAATATTGCATCATTGGACCCGGTTATAGACAGACAGAAACAAGTGCAGTGATTTGCTGAGGAAGAAAAATAGGTGCAGTACGGACGGAATGGGATCGATCTTCTCCAGCGTCACCCTACCTGGTTTGGTTTGAAAGCACGATCGATCGGTACAGTACAGTACTGCGAGAAGTGAAGCGACGACATGTCGTTCAAGGTGGACGTTCACTCCAAACGACTGTAGGTAGTGCCGGCGCAGACAGACAGTCCTAGAGTAGCTATTGTCTGAGAATGTGCACTCTGTACAAGCACCTTACAGTGCGCTAAAATAACTGTAAGCAAAGCAAAAGGCATAGCTCACTTTCCTTTCCGATGCACGCTAAAGTCGTTGATACAGTACGTCCATACTTGAAAAATCAGCAGTATACGTGTAGAGAATGTTCACTTTCAACTCCTAATCCCTGATTTAATCAATTAAGTCTGCCCTCCAAGGTCGCACCAATCGACACTACTACTATCCAGTGTCTAGTGTACAGTAGTAGTGTCAATCAATAAATAAATAAAATCAATCTGTGATAACATAAATGGAAAACTGTGGCCGATCCAATATCACTGTTATCTTATCTTGGCGCTGATAGTAATTTACAAAACAAGATGCAATCCATAAAATAAATTGAAAAACGTTTGACCTCTAGCCAACGCAATCATCAAGCACTTCTAACTCTGCGTGACTTTATCAATTGAAAGGGGGGAAAAATACTACAGATCCAAAAGTGCATCCAGGCTACCTATCCAGAAAGACAGGATGACTCCAACTGGCAAGACTACATACTGCATAACACACTTTGTTGTAGTTTAGTAATGGTCCCAAAATAACACTTCATGACTACATCACAGACGATCGCAATTGGAAATTGATTAAGGCACCGCTATAATCAACGAGACTTGAACATCAATCAAGATACAAGGCAGAATTATCGGACGATTATTAAGAACCGCAACTATATCTTGGACGAGGATGATAATCAATCAGGCTAAAATGCAGCGTGGAATAAAATACACCTTATTCAACAATACCAAGTTGTCAGCATTCAAACTGAATCAAACTACTATCTTTATTCATTATCAACGTGTAAGCTGATAAAACGTTCGAAAAAGCAAACTTGACTACAGTCAGCCCGCCAAAAAAATCTCTTTTATCCCAATAAATAATCAATTAGAAAAGAAAAGCATGAATATAATTCATCGATCTTAAACTTACTTTTTTGAAATTAAAATCCTGGTCTCGTTTTTCCTCGTTAGGAGTTGACAGACCAATTAGGTCGCGCAAAAATCGAAACATGATCGGCCAAAGTGGTGTTGCGATTCAACTACCGTCTAACAAGAGATGCAGTAACTGGTAGGTTGGGGTATGCGTGCAACGGCTTTTTACACAGTAGCGTTGGTAGAATAGTGCCAATTTTGTAGCTCACACTGTTGTCTCCAGCGCTAGGCTCCCACTACAGTACAATAATAACGACGTACCAATGGAAAAAAGCCCTCCTCTGACGTAGGATCTACTGTACTATACTTTCCACTAGGGTCTTTTATAGCGTACAGTACATCATGTTGAGCTAGGAACAAGCTATTGTTCCCAATCGGACTCTAGAAAATTGTCCATCAAAGCGCGTGCTTTGTAAAAAAAAAGTGTTATTTCTTATTGTAATTAATAACCAGTGCATATTTCATATTTTTTCGCCATCTATTATGACTTCCTCCTCCCCTCTCCATGACGGTTTGTTCATACTCCACCAAAATGCACGTGATCCACAAAAGTGCTCTCGTCATTCTTGAAATCTCCCACATTGTTAACCAATCAACAGTCATCGCGACTGAGTAAACTTTCAAAAGATTGCTGGGTTTTAAATGTTGTGACGTCAGACCGGTCAAGACCTTGGACTTTTAAATACACACACACTGTAGACAGTCATGGACTACGAGATGTACACAGAATATCCATCATACTGGACGACCTATTTCGACAGTACAGTGTCAACATCGAGCAACGTTGATTACTTTCTACGAGACCTGACTTTCTACCTTGCTGTTGAATCCAACAAATCGCTCAAATCTTCATTCAAAATGTCTCCCAAAGTACATCAGTGTGTGCCACTTGCTTGACTCATGACTGAGTCATAACGTGAACAACGCTATACTCATCCAGTTTTATGAGTCACTATTGTGAGTCATAAGTTGACTCACGTCAAATGAACTCCACACTCAAGTCAAAATCAAGCAAACTCGGCTGTCCATCACCGCTATGATGGACGCTAGTGTACCATCATGTTCGAGCGGCTAAGCATGATCCAACGGGCAGTAGAAACTGACGCATGAAAGTTCACTGATTTACCAAAGCAATCTTCAATAGCAAAAATCACTGGACAACAGGTTCATACAATACTATTGAAATAAGAATGGGCTGCAATTGTCCATTTCACTTTCTTCACTTGTTCTTGACAGTAGCTGTCAATTTATGATGAAATGATTCTCAGTGAGTCCACCATTCACCAGCAATGCCTGCCAGTGACGGTAGCGAGTAGCTACCGAGATGGACTGTATTGTTATACTGTACAGTGTACTCTACATTGTACACTGTACACTCAGTGAGTGAGTGTACAGTACAGTACAGTCTACAACTGTACAATGTACATGGTACGGTACTGTACTGTACAGTAGATGTCAAGTCAAGTGCACATTCGTGACTCGTGAGTCATTCTTGTGCTTTCGGAGATCCGGACGTACTGACTCGCTCTTTCAAATTATTGATTGCTGTAGAGCTATTGTGGGCATCTTATGTACAATATTTAAAAAGAAAGAAATAAATGAACTTAAATCTCACATTATATTAGCGATTTCCGGACATAATGTCATTTGACGCTATAGTATACAATTTATAGAGCATAAAATCCTAGCAGAACTAAGGATGAAATCTCATCTTGGCAGTGAATGGAGAACGAAGGATAAATTCGCTGCTGAGGAAGACACAATGCCGTGACCCTAACTTGACCATTGAAACCGTCAATGCTGCCTAGAGCTTCTGGGCAAGATATGGATATTGCACAGGAGATTATATAAAAATATTGAGATAGTCATAAAAAAAATAGACTAATAACGAAATTACCTATGCAATATCTAGTAATAAAGGCTCCATTGAAGCATCTCTGTGGAGGAGCTTAAATGTCATATACAAGGGATTCAAAAATAAGCAAACTCTCCATCTACAGCTGCTACAATCTCAGCTGGACTAAGTATCTGCCTACGATAGCTTACGGTAGTCAAGTCTACAGCCATTTTAACATTGTTTTAGTAAAGGATAGAGCCCTAACTATGTATATTAACTGTACAGTATACTGCTTTAAATTATAACGTAAATTACATGCATGCTATAAACAGCATACGGTAAACGCCTATTGTCAATGCTAATACTCTACAGTGTACATTCGATAAAAATAGATATATGAGGTACCAATAGGCCGCACAAATGGAGAAGACTAGTGAGTAAGTGGTATAATACAAAAAAAATAAATATGGAGATAGCGTATCGCAACTATGCCTGATATAATTAATTTGCTATCGCTCTCAGATTATCATTGCTGGCAGAATATACGTATTCATTTTACTGTAGTCATGTTGGCAATACACTACACATCAAAGCCAGCGGATTAGAAGAGAGTAACAATTAGTTCGCTCAGCTTACTAAATCAAACTACTATTTGATAAGAAACAGTTAAACCATGATCTACAGTATTCCAATTAATATGCACTTATTAATATACATCGATTTATAATATTATACACGTCAATACAGTAAATAATGAATCAGCTACATTTATTTATCCATAAATATACGATAAGCAGCACTCTGTACAGTTATTATTAAAATATACATAGATATTGGTTAGTCGTTAATGCGCTCCTCCCCCTCCACATTCAATATTGCACTACATTTGGTCTTTAGCCTATCGGCGAATACAAAATTTTCGTCGGCTAAAAATCGTTTGAATTATTGTCATATATCACTGGCAGAGCATATAGATTATTTACGTGCTAGCTGTGTCGCCCTAATTTCTAAAAGTTCATACAACTAAGTATTGTACATAGGACATGTTGACTCATTCATTAATTAATTATTGCTACACTATTATGCACGTAA